ACTGAATGCTAAACAATTAAAACTGATGACAAAGTATTGCAAGTGTGAGGTTAGGCAATTTCCATTTCAGATTTTCCCGGATCATATTCGAATTTTAAGCGGATATGGCTGGAAGTCGCTTATAATACAACTTCTGTTACAAGAATTCGATTTTGTCATGTGGACAGATGCCTCAATTCGATTTAATGGAAGACCCCTTGATAAACTTTTTCAGGGCGCCAAAGAGGTCGGCGTCCAAGCTATTCCTGGTTCGGGCTCCATTGCCGTACGCACAAATCAACGCACGTTTACAGCACTCGGAGAAGAAATGTGCTTATTTGATTACCATGAGTTTGAAGCAGGATGGATGGCGGTCGTGCGGTCCGAATTTACTCTGACTGCGGTTATGAGGCCGTGGGTTTCGTGCGCTTTACAGTATGGCTGTATGGATTTTAAAAACTCGAGGTCTTTTCTCGGATGTCCATTGAGAAAACAAAGATATGGTGCTTGTCACAGATTTGATCAATCAGTGCTTGGAATAATCCTTACTAGACTGTTTAATTATAAATCACATCTTTGTCAATTTATAGTAAATGGTATAGGATTTATCAGAAGGGGAGATTATGTAAATTACTTTCCCAATTCTTAATAACCATTATTTTATTATAAAATTACTTTGTATAGAAAGTTACCGTTTTGATTAATTTATTCTTTAAATCTATGACATTATAAGCTGAAAGACTTAATGTAATAATAATTCAAAAGGAGATTCCTCAGTAAAAAAAAATAGGCATTCTGAGAGTATTGCATAAGCAATACATGTCCCCTACCGGATTCCCCTTTCTCTTTAGGATCTCAATTTATAATATGCAAAAGTTATGACCAAGGTAAAACTGCTTGATTTCAAAATTTTGAGGTTGTGCATGCCTTTAACCTTAAAAAAAAAAAACACCAAAATTCAGCTTAATATCTGCAAGAAAAAAAAAGTGCGGAAAACCAAGTAGGACAGACTGACAGACAGACATGGGGCGGCTAGACGGACGGACAGACAGACGCAGAGGAAACCTATAGTCCCCTCCGGTTTCACCGGTAGGGGAGAAATAACAACTATGTGACGTACAGTTGTGTTACAATGCCATAGTCAATCACACACCTCCTTGTGTCCAATACAATGTCCCCAGAAAGCTATAACTTTACCAAACAAAATGCTCTCATATATTTGCGGTGGGCACACACCTCCTTGTGTCCAATACAATGTCCCTAGAAAGCTATAACCTTTACCAAACAAAATGCTCTCATATAGACTGCACATAAAGTCTAAGCCTGTACTCGGTATTTACGGCTTTGAGCAGTGAAGGGTTTTTATCAGAGTTCGGTACAGTGGATCTAAGTTTATTCTCAAAGGCATGCTTCGATAACAATATTTTTCAATGCGATGCAGGCTACTGACAGATAAGTTGATATAACAGGGAATCAAACACCCTAGTTTAAAGTCAGCATTTCATAAATTCTTTGCTTGCAAAAATAACTTGGTTCGCAAATAAAACATACCATTTGGTCGTTTTGGGGCTGATTGTTTAATTAATACAAATTGTCAGGTTTTTGTTTTGATACTAGTTATGCTACAGAATGTTCCGTCTCCGTAATCAATATAGGACTGAAGGCGGCGTGTGAACAGTCAGCAGGAGAAGCTTTCTTCTCTCTTGGTACCTGATCCAGCCTATAGGATTTCCAAGGATCCGTGTTTAACAACCTCGTCACAGATTTGTATCGTTCATAGGACTTTTGGTTGTTTTGTTCTTTTTGTAAAGATTGATTACTGGCCGTTATCTTCACCCTTTGTTCATTGATACGGTTTCTTCCCAAGGACCGGTATCTAAGTCTCGCAATCTGTATCGAACCCGCTAACTAAGGATCAACTCTTTACTCTTTGGCTCTGTAGCTTGTGATTCAACGACTTCCGCGGTCATGCATGCGAGCCACTTGTTGTTAGGGTAGGTGCATACAGTCGCAGGCTACGACAGAACGACATATTTCATTTTTTCAAAATTTCTTTGTCAGCCTTATAAAACAAGCATTTTGGAAAATCCTTCATTAATTTGTGCCTAATAAAAATTCATGTACATGTACTTCTTTTGAAAAAAAAAATGTGTAGAGTTTACTGAAAAATGTTGTTTAATAAAAGAATTTTTCAAAAATATATTTAATATAGATAAGATAAGATTTATTAATACCAATTTGGGGCCCATCAGGGCATACAAGTAATAAGGAAAAAAAAAACATACAAGCAGAAATTCAAAATTGATAGCAGTAACTAACAAAAGATAAATGATGTTACAGCAGTTGGGGATTACAACATACATAATCAATATACTGTAAATAAAAGTTTGTTTAAAGTATTTCTATATATTACTCTTTTGTATTTATTTGTTTCTTTGTTTAACATTGCATAATTTGCTATTTCTTATTTTAAAGATATTGATTAAAAAATTACCCAGCTTGATAAGCAACATGTCATCTTCATTAGACATAATCCATAAAAAATTTTCTTTATTTGTTAAAGTATAGAAATTTTTATTACTTTTAGCAATAATATTAAAAAAGTCATCTCTATCATGCTTATATAATGGACATTCAATCAGTGAGTGTATCTCATCTTCCACACAGTTCATGTCGCACATTCTACAAATTCTTTCATTTCTTGCAAGGGTGGTTTGCTCTCCAGCAGAGTAGTTTTTTTTCGTACCTTCCACTTTCTATTCTGAGGTTATGTGAACTCACTCTAAATTTGCATATAATTTTTCTTTGTTCAAAATTTTTTAATAATAAATACTTTTCAATTTCAAAACTTCTTTTTATATAGAAATATGTTGTAAGTTTACCCGATAGACAACCATCATCTCTTTGTTTAAACCAATATTGAAGGAAATCTTCTCTAATAATTTTTTTCAGATGTTTCTTTAAAGTTATTAGTTTCATTGATTTACATCTTGACAAATCTATGCCCATTCTGTTACAGAAATATGTTACATTTGAAAACCAACTATTTACATTACAACTGTCCAAGATAATATATATTCCTTTCATATATTGTGCAAAGGACAATAACTCTTATCCACATTGTGACATTATCATGTCACTCGGCTTTTTCCGTCGACTTTATCAACTGCCATATTTAACGATACTTTGTAGCCACTGGCACACTTTTTGGACAGATAATATTTTCCTCTTTCAAACAATACTTACCTACTTGCTCCATTTCTTTAAGGTGTGAACTAACAACAGTATTACAATGATTTACAATGCTCTAAAAATTCTTTTATTTCCTGTAGCATAGAATGCGCTCGTCATTATATTTATTATGTGCTCAACTTTCTTCTTTTCAAAAACTTCCGCATGGCAAGATTTATCAAATGCACACATGAAATAGTCGAGAATATGACATACTTAACTATGTCAAATGGATTTACATATGCCTTTCAAGTAACTGGTTCAAAATCCAACATAAATAAAGTGCCACGCCACAGCATGATACGCCCGTCAAAAAATTACAATTAACTTAAACAGTTTAGAGTGCAAGAAAATCATGTAAACCTTGATTCTAAAATTTCCATGATTTTTTCTATTCCTTAAAATATTTGTTTATCCATCGATATCCCCTGTGGTGTAGGCATTAATTATAACAAATTACATCATTGATAGATTTCTGTACTGGTTGTATTAGACCTTAATTGTCAAATGCTCATCATATTAAACAATATCAAATTAGTCTTAACAACTTAATTTAAACCAAATTAATTTTGAAAATAAAAGGCTGGGCCATCAAATGACATATGCTATTTAAACTGACCAGCAGTTCTTCTGTCTAATTCTCAAAGGACACAGATAAGAAGATGCTAGCTAGCCTTCCTAAATTGAACTCATTAATTAATCTTTGACTGGATGCTTGTCTTCTCATTACTATAGATGAATGAATCTGCACTATCTACCATAAAATATTTTTAAAACATTTAAAATACTCAATGATTTTTTTTTTAACATTTAATGTCAGAAAGGTTTAAATATGCAATTTCTATGGAAAATGGACATGCTGATTCCACCCCTATGAAATTAGTTTTTTAAATTAATAATATTATATAATATTAGATTAGTTTATAATGCAATATCAAATTAGTGTTAATTACTTTTCATCAAAATCATTTTAAAACTTAGGCTAGCCAACAAGAGCTATTTTTAATCCAACAGGCTTACCCATCTGCCCAATTCCCAAAGGCACATAGATAACACCGATGGTCTCCAGTTTGCTCCTCACACTAAACTCATTAATTTCTCTCTAATTTGACATGCAATTTTCTGTTATCAAAACTCTTGACCAGTGCTTGATAATTATACTCATGGGAGACATGGGATTTCTCTTAACATACATTATATCTGTTATAGATTGCTGTCAAGTATATGCTGAAAAAAATAAGTATTTTCTTGATTTAACACTTTTTTAATAAGGATACGACTAAAAATTTGCATTTTTTAGGACTATGAAATTCAAAATTTAAAAGACTTAGTTTTTTAAAAAATTTCACTTAAATTAAAGGTCACAGTGACCTTGAAATAGGTCGCGACACACCTTCTACCCAAGATGTATACATTTGCCAAGTTTGATAGTTCTAGGTCTAATAGTTTACTAGTTATGAGCCGGACAGGATTTTTCCATATTTGGCCATAGCATCTTAATTAAAGGTCAGAGCGACCTACTTTTTGTGCGCGACACACCGTCTACCCAAGAAGTATCAGTTGACAAAGTTTGATAATCCTAGGCCTATTAGTATTGAAGTTATGAGCCGGACAGGAATGGACAGACGGACAGACGGACGGACGGACACGAAGCCTATAACATAATACGTCCCGTCTTAAGACGGGCATATAAAATACCTTGAAATTCAATTAGTTGATTTCTTCAATTATTACCCAATTTACCACAATGAAAATCAAGGCAACTATAATTTAAAAACAAGAACACAGAAAACTTTCAAGAACATTTTGCTCTTTTTTTTAATGATTTTTTTTTTTCAAAGTAATATATGAGCCAGTCGAAATATCAATTTCTCATAAACTGTTTATATACAGAACAAAGTAGAAAACTTTAAAAAGTCATGTTAGTCCAGAAGAATAAAATTAAAACCGTTGTTAGTTTGTACTGGCTTTTGTGTGGAGTTTTTAGCTCTGGAGCTGTTTGTCGTACATGTACTCTCCCAGACCAGACCCCACACGCTTCAGCTGGGTGATGTGATCCGAGATCTCCTTAATGGCATCTACTTGCTCCTCAAGGTAGTTAGACTCCAGGAAATCAGTCATCTGGAAAAATACAATTAAAAACTAATTAAAAATCTATAATTATGATAACTCTCAAGATATTATCAAATGAACAAAGATTTCAATCCAATAATTCAGAAGTGAGAAAGCAAGAATAATTGTATATTTGGACAGTTTTCCTACTAGCACATATACAAACACAAGCTATACATATACAGTTAATTTCATGACATTTTATGCAAGATTAAAGCAAATTAAAACCAATGATACCTGAGCATCTGAGTGACTGTCGGCAACTTTGTGAAGGTCAAGCAGGGATTGGTTGACACTCTTCTCTAACTGCAGCGCTACCTGCATGGCATCAAGTCCTGTTCCCCACTCATCGCGGTCAGGTTTCTATACAATTCAAAATATCATTTAAAATAAAATGCTACATGTAATCAACTAAAGAACGAAACATCATTTACATCACATGAAGTATGTGGTTCAGTTATACAATTTCTTATTCATTCATTTCAATTTAAGTCAGTAACACTAAATTCTATTATTCTTTTGTCAAATTTGAATCAAAAGTACTCTGAATTATTTAATAACGGCTTACTAACCTCCAGAAAATTCAAACAAATTTAACAACTATTTCTTCAAATTATATATGACCGATTAGCTAGGGGGTGTCCACACTGTGACTCGAACCTACAACCCTCAGATTTAAAATCCAATGCTCTACCGACTGAGATAAGGGGTTTCAGTTTTAGTTTTATTGAAGTCGAGAGACATACATCTCATAGACAAAACACATATAATAATGAAATATACATACATCTTAACACGTGTAATAATGGAATAAACATACAACATACATGTACAAAGCATATGATATTTCTGATAATCTATAAAATTGATAAAGATGCAGTTCTTGAGGTATTCGCTAATTGCAAAAATTTTCCTAAATTACATAATTCTTTTATATTCTGTGTACTGAGTAGCTGTACCAATTTGAAGACGCTTGGTCTTCGGGAGTAGTAGGATTTAATGTATTTTTGTCTTAATGTATTGTAATGTGGACATTTTAACACAAAATGGAATTCATCTTCTATGTTACCTAATTGACAGAGACTACATGTTCTGTTATTTCTCAAAGTTTTATTATATCTTCCTTGTTCAATCATTAAGTTATGCGCAGATAGTCTTAATCTGGTAATTGTTACTCTATATTTTAGATGTATTGGTTTACATAAATAAGACTGAAGGGTAAAATTATCTACCAGGTGTTGATAAATGAGACATTTTGGTGATTTACCTAAATCTGACATAATGTTTTGGATAAATTCGTCACACATTCTCTGATATAAAATATCAATTGTGTTACTATTTATACAATTGCTATCGAATAGTTCTACTAAGCCAAGCCTATAAAATTCATTCTTAATATTTACAATCCATTCATCATTATTTTCTAACCTTTCTTGTAGACATGCTTGAAGAATGCAATTGTCACTATTTCTTAATTTTAACCAGTATTTAAAGATTAACCCACTAGCTAGTGCTAGTAGGAGCGTGGCCTCACTGTTTACAACTGTTTACTCATATGGCCACTTTTCAACTGTTACATATATATTAAAACAAACCTTGATGTCTTGGAGCACAATACGCCCTCCTCTTTTGTTCTGATATTTCATTAGCTTCTCGGCATGTTCTCGCTCTTCATCGGACGAATGCTTGAAGAACTTGGAGAAACCAGGCAAGGCTACATCGTCCCGATCAAAGTACAATGCCTACAGATAAAAGAAAGTAAAATGTAAATTTATAACTTGTGCCAGTTGTGGACCCTTTAATCCGTTAATTCCATTCTATAAAACAGCTCAAATATTTTTCAACTCATATAAATTATTTTTTTTTTTCAATGATTTCACTCATAAACATGATAATGATAAACGTTGTTTTTGACTTGGTTAAAACACGTGACATTCCGGTCACGTGTACAAACATGAAATGGATAATAAACGTTACATAACAAATTCAGAACAACCGATTTTAAAGGTGATTTAATTAATAGCAAAAAATGTAACAATTTCTGACATGAAATTAACAAGCTAAGACGAATACACAAAGATCTAAAAGTACTGCGTATTGGATATTGTAATAAAACATCCGGGCATTACTCACCATAGACTGGTATGTGTACGAGGCGTATAGTTCCATGTTTATCTGGCGGTTAATCCCTGCTTCACTTTCCTCATGAAAGTTTTGACGAGGCTGGCTCTGAGACATGTTTCTGGTTGTGTAAAATTTCAGGAAAAAAGACCTAGAGAGAATTGGCTGACAAACCCGTCCGTACGTACACTGACGCAGCAACACAGGAATCATCAATAATGGCCGTGATATCCGGCCGCGATATTTATATATTCGATTGTGACGTCATAATGAACCTGTTCCACATGACTAAGTGGTCCTTGTGAAATCGTTACTAGCAAACAATTTGTCCGGATCTTTTTTGTCCGTATCTTTATTACCAGTTCTCAAAAAGGGTGAAAATTGCAATCTCTGGTATTTTAAAACTCAGAAAACTCGGACACGTGGCAATTGGTTTAATTGGTATAACTACAGGCACCTGATGTTACTTATTTTTCATTTAATAAAAAAAAATATACCCTTACCTAATAATTAGGTAATGGTATATTTTTTATTAAAAGAAAAACAAGATGTGTTTGTGAAACACTATGCGCCCGGCGGCAACAAAAATCGAAAAAGCTATTTTTAGCATACAAGCATAGGTAACAGTCAAGGTCACAAGGTCATTGACCTTGGTGTCATATTTGAAAGAATAAGTGGATAATGCACACCAAATATGAAGTCTCTATCTTTTATGGTTCAAAAGTTATGGTGAAAGGAACGAAAAAGCTTTTTTTAGCATATAAGTCACAGTCAAGGTCATCAGGTCATTGACCTTGGTGTCATTTGAAAGAACTTTATTAGTGTAGTATGCATACTAAATATGAAGTCTCTATCTTTCATGATTCAAAAGTTATGGCGAAGGTTAAAGTTTGCAGACAGAAAAGCTATTTTTAGCATAATTGTCACATTCAAGGTCACAAGGTCATTAATATTGGTGTCATTTGAAAGCACCTAATTAGTGAAGTATGCATACCAAATATGAAGTTTCTACCTTTCATGGTTCAAAAGTTATGGCGAAGGTTAAAGTTTGGAGACAAACAAACAAACAAACAAACAAACAAACAAACAGACAGACAGACAGACAGACAGACAGACAGGACAAAAACAATATACGCCTCGGATCTATCGATCCGGGCGCATAATAAGTAACATCAGGTGCCTGTGGGTATAACCTCTACTAATCGATTGACACACGTATAAACAACGAATGATTAATACTCAAACAAAGAACAACACAAATAACCAAATAAATAAATAAAATTAAAAGATAATAATACATCAATAAAAATAAATCAGCTTTTATAATATTATTGATTATTAAAATTTTTAGATTTACATTGGAAACAGTTTGCAGTATCATATTTCAGTAACGAAAAAAAAAAAAACATTTTATGCAAATTAATATTTTTTTCTTCATTTTAAACCCTCTTTAATCAACACACAAACAAGTAATGCATGTAAATAAAGATAAAAATGCATGAAAAAAAATTATAATTGAGGCTGGATGTGTACGCGGCAGAAGGAAAGTTTTCTTCCTTCAACAATCAAACCGTCAGTGGAATACTAGCATCTGCCTGATTACATTGATAAAGAGCACTTGGAATATTTTCATAATTTGAGTCTTTTAATTTCAAATCCTACTACTCCGACTCAATCAAGTTCGAGTTTTCATATGAATTTTCTTTTGCAGTCAGTGCATTCAGCCAAAGTCAAGTATTGAAGTACTAGTATATTCATTCGTTAAGTTATAATTGAAAATTACTGGATCGACATGCAATGATGACCAAATATTGCACATAATTATCCTAGCTCTACTTGATTATACTTTCAGATTTCGACACAATGATATTGAAACTGAGCTAAAATAATTTTACTATACATTCTGATGCATCAGTTATTTTTATGTAATGAAATTTTCTCAGTACAGAAATTAGCGGTAGCGAATTCACTAGTAACCGAAAAGCATGACGTACGTTCTACTTTATGACCTTAGTCAGTCGAGGATTACAATGTCATTCTCTTTTGAGTGATTTTGTAATACAAATGTATTTATATAGCAAAAAAAAAAAAAAAAAAAAAAAAAAGTTTAAAACGCTTTATTGAAAAGGGACAACCGGACTAAAATATTTATTAAATTCTTTATTGATCTTTATAGTCATGCGTTTTCATATGGGATATATGATCCACAATAGAAAAAAAATATAGATGTCCACAAAGTTCAACGATCAGATGTCCTTTACGTTTTGAGAGAGATCAATAACATGTAAAATATGGCATAACATATGCAGGAATTTGGCTATATATAGCTCTCATATAGACATGTACATGTACAAACGTCATGATATAGTTTCAGTTTCATGTGTCCCAGACAACGAAACCGTGATACTGAACCAGAACGCACGTTTTCTTTTCATGGAAGTAATTGTTAAGAATAAAGATAGCATATTATACTTTATCTTTTAATTAGTATCATAGTATTTTGCTATGGCAAATTTTTCTTTATTTGCATATTGCCCCATTTCCTTTTTTGTTGCTGTCAGGTTGAGCACTGCATGACAAACTCCAGGAACTGGACAGTAAATTAGTTTTGTTTGTTTGTTTGTTTAATTGTTTTTTGAATAGTCTTGAAGTTGGGTCCCCTCTTTTGGAAGGTACATGTAATACATAAATGCCTATAGTCAGCCTCCAACTGATTTCTTTTTTATTCCCCCTCTCCTCCACGAAAGGACTAACATATACCGGTATTTAATCACGCTTTATGGGCCCACCCCACAGGCACTTGTTTCTGTAAAAAAATTTTGACCCATAGTATAATTATACTATGGGTCAAAATTTTTTTACAGAAACAAGTGCCTGTGGCCCACCCTGCCGAAAACCAGAAGAATTTTAATGACGTTTATTAGTTGTCAATTGTTTATCCTCTCTATGGATGTATTCTATTTTTACTATCGCAGTTTACTCAGGCATCCCCGCATGTATTTTATAAGTATACCTTTATATAAACAGCATCATACACATTTGTACTGTATTAATTAGTTATTTTCAAACAATGCACTTTCTTATGTTGAATATACATAATTTATCCGATTTTACCCTTTTCTTACGAGTTTACTGGCTATGTAACCATAAGGACAATTTTAAGTGTACGGTCAGACTTTCATTTTACAATATTTACATTTCCAATGTCTTTGTCCGAGATAAAATTACCAAATGTAAATGTACTTTATTTCTCCATCAATGTATTGGCGCGGTTCCAAAAAACCACGTGCAGGGCGGGACAAACACCTAGACAGAAGCAGGGCTTGGAGCACGTGGATTGGCGGAATCAAAGCATGTAAATATAAGGAATAACTGTCAGATTTTTCAATTTCATGAAGATGATCAATCGATTGGCTTGCGTGATAATTTTATGCATAATGCAAATTATCACGCAAGCCAATCGATTGATCACTTCATGAAATCGAAAAATAAGACAGTTATTCCTTAACTAGATGCACCTGAATTGTATAGCTGTGTTTTTAAAAATCAAATATGTAAATATCTGTCTGATATATAGTACTTAAAAGAATGCCGTTCATACAATTAATTCATCCAGTGCTCTGTATTTAGAAAAAGGTAAATTGAACAATTTTCGGTATACGGTTGATCCGAGAAAAGAAAAGTCTTTAACGACTCCAGCATCAGTTTAAGAAGTATTTTTTCCATAATGTACAAAGAAACGTACAATATGAATATGGATTGATCAAAAGGCCTAGGGCCTATACTAGTTCTCTACATTTGAGATCAAGGTACAAATGTATGTACTGTACATATTTGAGTTCTACAAAGACATGTATGATAAAGTAATATTGAAAATGTTAAATAGTATATAATTGAAGAAAAATTAAGGTGGAAAGTGGGTAAAGAAGACAATAAAATTTATTAAAATAATGGGAGAAAAAAAAACAAACAAACAAAAAAAAATGAAAAATAAAAAGCAGAAAAAGAGGGGAAGGCTCAGAATCATACTTGTATGTTTTTGTATACTTTCAACCCAAGGGTCAAGATTGAAAGACATGCTGCATGATACTTAGTATGTTTACTAATTCTAAAATCTTTTAGTTTTTTTTATTTTATTATTCTTTTTATTTATTTTTTTTTAATATATAAAATTATGAAGTTGGTCAAAGAACAACATATTTTCTCTAAGAGGTAGACAATCATAACCAGATAATACAATATTGACATCTCTTGGTATGCCATGGTCACTCATATATGTAATTAAAGAGTTCCTGGCAAGATCATAATATGGGCATTGAAAGAAGAAATGAACAAAAGAAATAACCACATTTTCAGCATTAAGGTGAATCAACTAAGTTATGATTAAACAAATCTGCATTAAGATTAAAAGAGAAGTTTCTCAACTGATAGTGGAGTATGTTTAATTTTCTTTGTCCATAATTGTATAATTTGGATTTTATTTTATCTTCAAGATTTTTATTTTGTATACATTGTTTAAATTTTGCTAAATTTGTTGCATATTTTGAGCTATCTGCAGCATCATCGTATAACCTGAGTAAGAACTGACGATTACAAATACATATAAACGTGCATTTATTGATGACAAATACATGATTTATAACCTCTCAGGAGGTTAATATATTTTTTTTTTCTAAGAACCCGTGAAATTAGAATCTTTTTAATCAAACTATCCCGAACTTCTTCCGTTATTTCGGTCCATATGTATTGTAGGTAAACATCCTCTGAATATTTTACAGAGACTTGTATAATAGTCCAACTATATTTTCATTACTACTTTCCACCAACGTAATATGTATAACGCAATGTTTACGAACTTTCACCCCTTTTGTATATGAATAATTGAAAGGTAGAAAAACATAAACCATGGGTTAAGTATTTTTATGCAATGTTGAAACTAAACTTCAAAACAACATTCAAGGTTCAAAGTTTCATGAGGCTGAAACTATGAGGTAAATTGACCCAGAATTTTTAGATTTCTAGTAAAAAAAGTATTTTACAAAACATTTTCCTGGTCCCATTTAAAAGTGTGGAAAAAAGCACTGTCACAAAAAGTAGCAGTTCATATCAGGATTATCTTTCTTTATATCACTTGTGTTTTACTACACTAGCTTGTACGTAATTAGTATTTTTTTTTAAAACAACTTTGTTATGTAAAGTAGTATGTTTATTTATATAGTGTGCTTATATGTTTGAGTGAATCAGCCTAATGTAATATTAGGGCATCCCAGTGACTGTTTAAACATGGAGTAAACTAAAATTTTGGATAGGTCATATAAGCTATGGATATAACAAACAAGCTTTGGATATTCGAATAAGCTATCAATGGATATGTCAATCAAGCTTCGAATATGTCACATAAACTGTTGATATGTCACATAAGCTGTGGTACCAGGGTATGTCACATAAGCGCTGGATATTTCATACAAGCTGTGGATATGTCACAAAGCTGTGTATATTGTGGATATGTCGCATAGGCTTTGGGTATAATGTTACATAAGCTGTGGATATGTCGCATAACTGTGGATATGTCACATAAGCTGTGGATATTATATCACGTAAGATGTGGATACGTCATGTAAGCATTGGATATGTCACACATGGATAAGTCGCATGAGCTGTGGATATGTCACATAAACTGTGGAGGTGTCACAAAAGCTGTAGATAATTAATTCACATTAGTTGTGGATATGTCACAAAAGCTATGGATATGTCACAAAACCTGAGGCAAATTTATCCACGGACATTATGATGATATGCACGTGTTTTTGCATTTCCTTTAATTTCACTTTATGAGAGATTTAATGAAATAATTTTCTGTTTTAATTATTATATACACAAACCTTCGAGACCCAAAGTTAATTATTGAATTTGAGTCAAATCTCATATATGCATTATAATTAAGGAATAAATGTCTTATTTTTCGATTTCATGATGTGATCAATCGCGATTGGCTTGCGTGATAATTTACATAAACGCCGAAGGCGTTTATGCATAAAATTATCACGCAAGCCAATCGATTGATCATCGTCATGAAATTGAAAAATCTGACAGTTATTCCTTATATTTACATGCTTTTGATTCCGCCAATCCACGTGCTCCAAGCCCTGCTTTTGTTGATGTATTTGTCCCGCCCTGCATGTGATTTTTAGACGGGGTCACGTGACCCCGTCTTTTAGTTTACTCTCAGAGGCCTAAAAATAGAAAACGGAAGCCGTGGTGATAACACATGAATTAAATCTACGTAAACAAAAGAGTTCAGAAATTATTTCGATCAAAACATAAACATTTTGTATCAAACTGAAGAAATTGATATGAATCTTTGTCTAACTCAACTAATAAAGTATTTTGATAATTTAAAACTGAAAATATTAACTGTAAATAACACTAATAGACAAAGTACTATCCTGCGTATTATTATGACTGTGTACGCATCATCCATTGTTTACTTCCGGAAAAATTATTAGTTAGTACCTGATGAAATTCGGAGCAGTTCACAAAGGTTTTCAGACTGAGCAATTATTAAAATTTCTACTTCAAATCAAATTAAATGAAAAATGTGAATGTATATTATTCATAGTTTTGTTTTTAGTATGTTAATGAAAAAATAAAGTTGTTATTAAAACTCGTAAGAAAAAAATCACATTTGTGAAATCTAGCATGAAGATTATTTTGACCCCGTCTTTCAGTACTGTCTCAGTACTTTGATTTTTAACCGCGCCTATTGATGAACCAATTTAATACATTGATGGGGAAATAAATTATACATTTACTATTTGTAATTTTATTGCGGACAAAGACATTGTAATCGTAAATATGACAAAATAAGATCAAACCATTAGTTCTTTTAATTCTTTATCCACAGCCACCGTGCCATAGCAAACTTTTTTTCAAAGAGAATCTTCTTGAATTAGTCTTAGTCTAGCTATTCTTCGCAATGGTCTGCAAATTTCTTATGCGAAAAACACTGTATGTTTATACGAATGATTTATGATCAAAGATTGGCAATAAAATTCATAATCGACACTTGCCTAAAAAATTCCCGATAATTTTGATTTTTAAGTGTGCTTGCCGTGATATTATGTTTCGGAAGCTGAACAGATCAGCTCATCCTATAGGTGAACTGGCACACGTGTTTATGTTCACGACCAGTGCAGATATAATATACGTACACCGATCTCTGCTCACTTATCATTGCCTGACTGTAGGATAACTCGGAGAAACACCATTGCTTTTATCTCAAGGACATTTATACATTCTTGATTAACTTCACTAATTGCTGAAACTACGTTATAAAAAGTCTCGCGGCATCAATGTTTTCGTGTAGAAATAAAATCCTTAGGAATACATAGGTGTGAATGCACCCTCTAGTGAAACGTAACATGCGATCATTGAAGCAATAGAGACTGTCTGCAGAATACAGAAGCCAGTGTCAATAGTGTTAATTGTATCTCCGCGTTAGTGAGCTTTAGATGTAAACTGACGAATTCCTGGCAGCGGACTGGGGTAAATAAGGTAGGGGTTTCCTGAATAGTTTTCTACAGTTTACATGTACCAGAAGGTGATAATCAAATGGTTAAAACACTTCTTCTGGTCGATCTCTTAATCAATATGCTAGTAGAACAATAAAAGCCCAACATCAATTGTGTGTCAACGGTTTGTGAATAAACACCCTAGCTATATAACTGCAGATGTTCACTATGGAATTATATATGAATGAAGCATATTTGAATCGTTATTAAAATGCATACAATACAGTTATATACTTTGATTTAATACATCTGTGATATAGCTTTGAAAAGATTAATTTTGTTCATACCCAGAAATCAGGAGAGAGGGTCCATTTCAAGTAGACATATTACGAAAATAACACTTTTTTAGATACACACATTGTATTCAGATATCATTTAAAAGTCATATTTTCATGAGAAATCGTAGTATGGGTACTTCTTTGTGACTTTATTAATTAGATGTATAGACTTTTGATAACTTTGGATCTCCTTCTTTCTTCATTATATAAATAATATCTTTTTTTCTATATTCAGTGTTTTTGAACATATTGTCTTACTAGAGGGCCTATTGTATAGTTTGTAAATTTTATCTTCATTTCTAGCGATGAATTACATTGCAACAGATTTTAATAGAAAATAAAGTATTTTTGTTTATTATTGAAACCAGAGAATAACTGATGATTCCTTTGGTTTATACTTTTATTTCAAGCATGGCGAAGTCATGAGTGCAAGGATTTGAGATTTATTGCTCGCAATGAAAGCGAATCAAAAAAAAAGAACACAGACTCGTGTTTTCTGTAAAGTTCATTCACATTTTTGTATGAAGGAACTTTTTGGTAGAAATAGTTCAACTTGAAAAAAAAAATATTTATGAATACATGCGGCATGTGTGTATCGTTAAAAGCAACTGTTGACAATAATATATTTGATTGGTGCATAATAATCCGTGGTCTGTACAATTATTATTGATTTTACAATAACGAATGTCTCCGAGAGCCAATTATACGACGGACCCCAGGTATGCAAATAAAACAAAAAGAATTCATCATGAGAAATGGCACGGATGCCATGTAAAAACTGTACAAACCACAAAAAAGAAAATATTGGTACGTACCCACGCCACCTACAGAATTTTTTTTTTAACTTCAAAAATGAATAAAACAACGACTCGCCAGTCTTCAAAGACACTGCTAAAGTGGTTAATTCCAGTGCAGTTAAGACATAATTATTGAATACAAAATTATGGGTTTTCTAAAACCTCTTTTGCTAAAATTGGTTGTATGTAAGTGAAGACCGGTCTTTCCTTTGAATGTGACTACATATAAACCAAGGACGTAGTAGGTGCTGGCAGAAAAAGATTCTCCATTGCCCAGGCTGTTGAGGATAAGTAAAAAAAAATAGGCCCTCCACCTGCAAGTGGTGGCATCTCAATATGAGTGAAACATTCTCGAAAGAGACTTAAAACAAACAGTCAAACAAACGGACAATGTTGTCAAGGACCACCTGTTTACCCTTATTAATTGATTACTTTGACCATTTATTATAATTACTCTTTGTGACTTTTTATCAGTCTCTCTGTTCTCCCGCCCGTCATTACATGTAGGTTGCTGGGTGGTTCCCTATACATATGATATACATGTACGTATATTTCCCTCTACCTCCAAAAAATTCCAACATTTATAGACACCGTCTTGAGGCACACCCCTTTTTATATGAATATAAAATTGTGTGATATGCATATTAGCTCATCAGTTAATACTCTGAAACTCCTGATTATTTCATTCAAAGTGCAGAGAACAAATATAGGATGTACGAAAAATATTAGCTAGTAAATCAAATAAAAAGATCATGCATGGGGGTTGCTAAACATCTTGACATATCGCTCATTACTTGATATAACTCACTTGGGGGTAGCATTAATTCGCGAAATCCAATGCTCTAACATGCAGGCTTATTGTCATATTTGCTGGTGGTTCATATCAAATACAAACCGCGGAAGATTCGACTGACAGAGATAGGAAGCAGAAGTCGAAAGATAAACTCCAGAACCTCCCGAGACTGTTGGACTGAATTAGAATACACCGGAAGGACGGCCTATACATTACAGGGATTCCGTGTCAGTCAGTTCTAAGTGACGAGGAACATTGGGATAGATGCTTGGAATACATGTAGATAATTATGTGTTTTGATGTAGATTACGGTTGATTACGGTAAACCTTCGGAAATGTGGAAACAAATCACGTGATGATAAATCACAATCAGCAAATGGTAGTAATGCACGAACTGGAATTGTCTTGAGGATGCATGTATTCTTCTAATGGTGGATTCCAATTCACAAAATGTGTTATGTTTTCTTTTGATTTCGATATCTACTTTTAATCAGACGAAGATAAATTCTTTGGTGAGTATATATAATACACCGGAAGTATATTATGGATAGTTGGATGATAAGGCATCATTCTGCATTTCCATGAGCCCTTTTCAGTTCCCTTAACATTTGAACCTTCTTCCCTAGATTCAATGCATATAATATCCAGGTATAATATCATTTGTTTCTGTTTGGGAGAGGTGGAGGATGTCAATTTCCATTTCTTTCAAAACTAGCATATTCTAAATGTATATGCTTAGCTTTTATGGTACATATAAAGTATTTTAGTTTGACTTTTAGTTTTTACTTGATTTGAATTCTGTTGAACTACATCAAATGCTGAATATACAAAACGGTATGATTAGGCAATGTCGTGTTAAACAGATCAAACACTTTCATGTCACTGTATCTTTTCAATGAAATCTGTCATAAGTTGTTACACAAAAAAGTGATGTGTATTTAAATCAATTCGTACCAATAAAGCAATAATGCTGCGACTTTTCAAGCTTGTAAACAGGCTTTGAACTACTATAACAACTAATGGCAAAGATTTCACAAAAAAACTTCCCTTTTTCAATCTACAAGACTCCTAAGTAGAAAAAAAGCTCATATTTGCAAAAAAAGCAGGCTTCGATAAAACCTAACCGTGTATCATAAATACTCGGCGATAGCAGATACGATAGATACCAAAACCTATATTACCCTTGGCACACGCGCGTGTTGTTTCCCATGAAAACAAGCAATGTCTATCGGTATTGCATTCTTATAGCGAGTGGTTGTATGTTGTGGAACACGTGAGTAGCTTTCCATGTTATTTTCAATCAGAGTGTTGTCATTTGGAAGGTCAACAATCGCTTTGTTAAAACGTTGGCCATCTGTTTAAGGTAAATATGAGTCATTTGCTTGTTTGTTTGTTTATTCCACTTTTATAAAACTGTTAGAATTAATTTACTAGACAGAGGGGTCCATTTTTACTACAAAAGCAATTGCATTTTATTCTCTTCAAACAAATATGCCTACGCATCCGTCAATATGGCCAATGTTTTCGACACAAAATGATATTGCAACTTTTTATTTTGCAAAATATCGGTTATTTGTATAATTATCAAGATAAGATGACTTTCAGAAACGACATCATAGCATGTAATATACGTACGAGCTCTCGTGAACAACAAATATTTTTATTTTGCAAAATATCCTGAAACAAAATATTTTATTACAATACAGGAGTATGCCTAAAAGATACCAATAATTCAAATGCAGGGGGAACTGAAATAGAAAGTTAATAAAACAAAATTCGTGTATATAATACTTGAGATCTTTAACAACCATGATGTAAAGCTGTGGTTTTCAAACGCTTCTTTGAAACTGATACGACTCGGTAATTCTTAAGCCTCCGGATCCGAAGAACTTGTGTCTGTTAACGAACCGTGTTGGATACTTCGCTTCAGACTAAAAATAAGCATAATGTGCTTACGAAAATTATTATGTTTTACAGCCTGAATCACTTCTTAATTGAAGACACGGATCTGAACACTAAGACATGATAAAATAATTAGGTATTGTTTGGCTTGTGCGTCTGTTGGTAAATGCTTTCTCAGAGGAGGTGAACCGATGCACTACCGAGGGATGTTTGCTTGAGCAATGATCTAGTAATTGGCAGGTTTCTTTAGGACGAGTAACGGTTATAGGTCTGCGCTTAATTAACATGTTCTAAAGTAAAAACACCTTGCACCGACTTTTAAGTCGACGATAAACGTTGTGATATTTTCACATGTTTGAGTTGAACATGACCGTTATAAAAGTCATTTTTGAATGGTAAATCATCGTATTTTCTGTCCATTGTCCATGTTGCTGATACATTTTCGAGTAGTAGTTCATGACCTCTAATGAACCCTATAGGCATTTACCAATGCATAGAGTGGAATCAGAAGCATATGCTAGTACACACTGGCTTCAAGTGTAGAGTTTGACAGATGGACGGGCAAATGTATACTATCTGTTTAAAAAATCCTACATTGGTTTCTGAAATTGAGGTGTGAAGGCTGATTTCCTGGATTGAAGTCTTCTTATGATACACAACAAAATAAGCAATAGTATGGACGTTGTTCTGCAAAGGTTTTGAGTGAGTGATGCGGGTCTAACTGAACTGTCTTTCCTAAAAATATAATTTAAAGCACTTTTTTCTATTCTTAAGCAAGTCTGCTTTTGTCAGACAGACTCATATATGTACCATGATATACATAACGTTACTTAGGCAGACAAAGAAACTGCATGGACGTACATAAACATTTCAAGAATATATTTTTCTGTAGAATATATACACGTGTCTGTTGTAATAATTTCATTATTTTTAATTCGTAGCATGTTTGGCGATGTAGAAGGGCTCTTACTGATCAACATTATATGGAAAATGCATGTAAACAGGGTGATAAAAATTATACACTTCAAACTTGGAGGATTTTTTTTAAAAGAAATTGCTTTTAAAATAATGGGCTGGTAATGATATATAAGAATGTTATATGCAAATGCTGGACACAACTGCAGTTTTTACTTAGAAATTTCTGGCATGATAAGCCTTTGACTGCATGTTAAACACAGATAATTTTAATTTTTGAGCGACGTCAACCAATTATCCCAAAAGTGAAATTAAGTAGAGATTTTTTTCTCTGGTATGCATAGGTGCCAAATCCCAATTTATGCCAAACGCTCCTATATGTTTTGTTACATATAAGTTAATAATACTTTCATGTAAATTAGTTGAATCTGAATGGTCTAGAAACATTTGTTAAAAAAGACTATTACCCGCTGAATAATGAAGCTACGCCCTCCAGCGTAGCAACAGTCAACATTGCTTGACGACGGGTGATGTTCCAAAAAATAGCGACTGCGCAGGATTTATGCGCTCACGGTTCACTGTTATATGTATTTGTATAATGCATTCAGTGTAATATAATAAATATTGCATGTAGTTGAGTGTAACATTGAAAATTTTCACCCCTCGAAACCATTGTCAACCTCTGCTGCTCCTCGGTTAACAATGGTTTTCTTGGGGGTGAAAATTTTCAATGTTACACTCAAGTTCTTGCAATATTTATATGATATTGCCTCATCTGAGCACTAGTGTTGTCACAAATCCTTCCTTATGGAGTTGTGTATCAGTTGTCTCAAAAAATTTCTGCATTTCAGAAAATAAGCATGCAAGTATTTTCATTAAGTCCTTCTATAACTCTACACGTGGCCAACAGCCACAAGTGGACAATAGGCCCCTGATTTTGTGTGGATGGTATAATCATTCAATTAAGTTACTGCAGCTACAATGTACAGTGGCTAAATAAATGTTAAAAGATCGATTAGTTACAATTTGTAAAAAATTATCATGATAGCTTACCGGTAAATTACTACATCTGTAATACACACATGGAGTTAATACCAAGTTAATAGCATTATCTCTCATTAGTTTCTTCGAAGTGAAAACCTAGCTAAAGCTCAGTTGACGTCAGCGACATGTTCCCCCGTTATCCTGGAGATATAATTGTTGAGACACATGGTAGACAAACCCGATTTTTTTATGACTATATATATAATTATCAACAGTATTTAATGCTGATACAAAAATTGTGTTGTTAGAAGCTGGAGTAGATCTACTGAGAAAATATGTTTTACAAATAACAAAACGGGGATTTTATAGTGTACGTCAGATTCAGACATGGATAAAAAGGTAATCTTTTATTATTGGTAGTAAGTATGTATCTATAGTTTATTGTAAAGGTTATTTTTTGTGGAGATTTCTGAAAATAAAAACTTTCTGAAGGATTGTATCAGTATTATCGTTTAAACAACATTCCGTTTTATATATTTTAATTTTTAGGAAACCGAATCCAATGTCATTGATACCACGTCATGCACGCTTCCTTAGCAGAAAACGGTCTTTGGCCTGTTTAGTTGTTCACCTATTGTGATTGGTAGAAAAGTCATGACGTAAAAGTTGAAATTGATATCATTGGCTGAATTAAAAGCTGTTCATGCAAAGCAAGGGAGATATTTTGTTGATGATCCTTCAACAGTGTTATCAAGGATTCAGAAGCAAACTAAAGGCAATACACTGTAGCAATAAATAAAACATCTTTATCATTCACAGAATTGCCCAAAACTCAAAATTCAAGGGAAGTGGCCATCGCGTGTTTTCAAATTAAATAGTACATAAAAACTTATCCATTCATATATACACTGTTTTTTAAAGTGTTTGTTTGCAGGGATTTTCCTCTGATGTTTATATAGATATTACAGGATTTATACGTTTTGAAAGTGATAACACAAATTCTTGGTATAAATAAGCGACTTCCTTCAGTTCTAAGATACCTAAACACACGCTGTGGTCTGGCGTTTCATTGTCGAGAGGAAAAATAAAATAGCGTGTAGCTGGAGAGTTTGATTGATGTTTTCATTCAGGATTAGGAATAGAAAAATATTTATATTCATCAATTTATCTTCCCCTTTATAGCGTGATCTTAGAAGAGGTAGTGATTTTTCTTCTTCACCTTTCTCCTCGACCCGTCGACCCTATCTTAAGCCGTAGAAGGGCTGCCCGGGAATGGGTGGTGGGTGGTTGGAGTTACAGCATTTTCTTCATTTTAAAGAGAGTGTTGGACTGTAATAACCACACCTGTATGTTTTGTTTCAGTGGTCATTATAGATTGCTGTACGGGTTAAAAAATTATCAAATGGACGTAAAACAGCAAACAATCAAGCAATCACTTAAAACTTTAACGGTTCAAATAGTTTTTTATTTTGTCAGGAAGTTATAAATGCATATGCTTATTCTATATTAGAAAATGAATACGATACAAGAGATGACAAGTGCATTCAGCTTCAACTTTTGTTATCGCTTCACATTCAAATCTAATAAATGACAAGCATACTCACAAACACCACATTGTGGTTTGGAATTTAAATGTGTCAATACATATGTATGTATGTCATTTAGCAACATATGTATTCACTTGTTTTCTAAATAGTATTTAAATACAGTTCGAAACATAATTAAAGAGCGGATGTTTGTTTGAAAATGCATGTTATTATCACAACTCTATAATATTTTGCCTATTTTTTCCTAAAGTTCAACACGTATCCCTTGAAGTCTTTTAATCCTGAAAAATAACTAGAGAATGCTCAATTTGAATGTATTTTAAGGTCCCCTGAGCTGAAATTAAGTTTAAGTGAGCCTTTGCCCGTCGTCGGTCAGTCCTTCTGAGTACCCATCTGTAAAATTGACACCTTAATTTACAACTTTTTCCAAAGAACCACGGTCACTTTTAACCATACTTTGTACATGGCAACCTTACTAATAGGTGATGTAGTGTCAGACAGGGTGTGGTCATTAAAACCTCTTCTCAGTAACCACTGGATCAGAAAGACAGAAAGCTATGTGGAAGTATCCGGAGCTATTGTAGATTCTAAATTGTTCAAATCATTGCCCCGAGGATGAGTGGGGTGGGGCCACAATTAGGAACTGATTTTTTACATTGAAATATATACAAGGAAAAATCTTTGGTTTGAAATATATTTTATTCAAATCAATCCTGAAACATCTTCTCAAGATAAAAGGGACACGAAAAAGTGAAATTTTTGTGGAAAATTCCTGAGATAGTGTAGACTCTAAATGGTTAAAATCATGCCGCTCGAGGGAGGGGTAGGGCCAAGACAGAGTATTAAGGTTTTACATGGAAAGATCTACTAAAATCTTTCCGGTTTCGAATTCCACTGTGGAACATGGAGAGGGTCCTTTGGATGAGACCGTACAAACCGAGGTCCCGTGTCGCAGTAGGTGCGACCTGGCACGAAAAGGATCCCTCACTGCTCAATGTCCGTAAGTGCGGAGTATATGACCAAAAATTTGCAGCTCTCCACCGGTAAATGATGGCGTCTCCATATGAGTGAAAAATTCTCAGGAGGGACGTTCAGCAACATACAAACAAACTACATTGTAAAATATTTTTAAAATCTTTTCAAGAATCGCTAGGCAAAAAAAAAGGGGGGAAAATTCAACGTTTGCTGAAATTTTCCCGATGTTTAGATCATTTAGATCAACGCTTCCGGGATTAGGATATATTGCATCTGAAGTAAATAAAGCATTTCATATTGTTTGCTTCGTTGTTGCTCTTAAAAAGGGAGGATTCCTTTAATTTAAAGTTTATTTCGTGACCCTGAGCCTTTCATCGTGGTTTTGATTAAGTCAACTTATTACAGTTAGGTATCAAAATAGACAGATTGTCTTGCAAAATATTCTATACTAAGGAATTTCAAATTAAACAAACTCAGCTATCTGAGTATAAAGCAGCAGTTGGTCGCGATTCGCTGGATTTTATTGCAATCACAATAAAGTGCAAACGTGCACTTTTTTCCCATTAGGAAATTATTTTCCACGTGAATACCTCAGGTGTCTGAGAAGGTATTTGGGAAAGGATCCAATAATTGCAATGTGTTCGGATGCTTGTTTGATTGAACCGTCTATATGAGCGTGCTCTGATTGGCATCTACATGTACATGTAATGCAGAAAGTGGCAAATAACAGACGCTGCCGGAACATGCATAGTGAGGGGAGCATCGCTTTGTATATATTCGTATATGCATCTTCGATTCTTTACCTATGATTGGTAGCGATGCTTACATGGGATTTGAAATTTAAAGTAGAAAAATAGTGCGCGACTGAGAATTCCTCTATTACCAGAATACTAAAGTCTTGAGGAGCATATATATAAAAGCCTATTGGATTTTTAGTGATTTTTAGTAAGCTTTAGTGAAAGAGTCATCGAGAGAGGTATGCAAATGAGATTTCAAGAAAGTATTTCACATTTTTAAAAAAATTTTCTAAATAAAGTTTACTTTGGCTATTTTTTGTTTGTTTGTATTTTTAAACACTTTTAATACAGTAAAATATCAAACGTATAAATGCTTAACGTCAAATGCTATATCGTCTTGCATGCATTGAGATGTAAATTAATAATTGGTATACTTATTTTTTCTTTCATTAGGGAAACCTTCAGTTGATAACATAATCGTTAAGCAGTTGAATAGTTCGATTTGTATCTCATCATAGCTTATATTCAAATCTCCCATTTTATACATGTAAAGTAGTATCTACCCCAAAATTATAGATTGATACAAAATACAAGTCATATCGTGTTCGTAAATGAAATTTCTGTCTGTCGTCGGTGATTAGGAAAATGGCCTGGAATACACGTCGATAAAAATATTTAAGTATAGTTTTATGCACAATTTTATTCAATTTTTTAATTTCTTTTTTTAGACTGTTGAATATATTAACTTAGTAAAAGCCATAATGATAAGCATATTCATATTTTAAAAGCCCTGAGTTGTGCTTATTGCTTAATTTTATTTAGTTTCATTCAGATTCAAATTTAAATCAAAAACATCTCTAACAGAGCTAAGATTTCCCGTATTCCAATACCACTATTCAACGAAAATAAAAATAAACGTAGCAAGCTTAAAAAATAACTTATATAAGTACAAAAATGCTATGACACCGTTTGTAAGCCATGGGGGATGGAGGTGTGATTCTTTTATAAGCTGTGATTCGATATATTGACAGGAAATATAATCAACATCATTGAAAAATTACTAGTATATCATTGCATTAAAAACAATGAAACTTTCAGTACAACAATAGAAAGAATAGAGATGACATCCCGGAGTCAAAATAAAAATATGTAGCGATGGTTCCATCAATCGATATGACGATGGCAAAGATCTACCGAGCCAGAGGGATTCCCCCCGCCTTCTATGCTCAGTTCTTCAGAACACCCCATAAAATCAATAGTCTGCAGTTAGGCTTGTTATTGCTAGAGTAAATTAGCGCTATTTCAAAGATTGTTTGCTAATAACCAGCAATAGTTACATGTTAGATGTTCTCTCGTCAGCTAAGCACGGAGTTTTAATGTCTAACCGGATTTTTCCATTTGTGGTGGGTATGTTACCATTCTTGAAAAGTTCAAACCGTTTTTTGTGCGTTTTGTATCTGTTTTAATTCAAGACTGAGACGTTAATGCATCCTGTTTTTCATACATGTAACAAAGTAAATTCACTGTGCGTTTACCGTCGATGGTAAATGGTTCATTATTTGTTACAATCCATAAAAGTTTGCTCATTTCATCAGCAGGGATAAGTTTGTAAAATTATGGTGCGTATGTGTAAAGTTTATGTGCATTGGTCTACATGCAGTGTAATAATTAGCATCTCATGTAACTAATACAATGTAAACTGGTGCAAACGTACGCAACTGTTGATGAACAAATTACTCAGAACCAACCTCCTTTTGTAGAATTATTACTATATGTTTGTGTTTGTTGTGCGGAGGTTACTTGGAAGCCAAAATTTCTCCAGGTCTGTAAAGGCACCAAGGCACCATTAGTTTCAATTCATGTTTTATTTCTATGCAAGGATAGGCATAGTTGTTAATTTTCTTCTCATTGCTTGAAATCTTCTAGTAGACCATCCCTCTGTTTTCTACCAGTAAGTTTCATTACATGCGAATATTGGCAGCTTTATGACATGCTTGTTTTTTTTTATATACGTCATAATTTGCAAGTAAATCCAGTAACTATGAATTGAACGATCAAAATAGGACCTACTCTAACCCGGATCCCCACGGGGCTGTTTTTTTTTTTTTTTTTTTTTTTTAATATGAAAAAGAGTATGAAATGGTAATACTCTTTTACAGCTTATCGAGATTTGGGTAACATATTGAGTTTTTTTGCGAGTTAAAACTGGTTTATTATCAATACATGTCGTTTAATAAAGAAACAAATTTAAACTTGATATGCCTGCAAACATTTTGTTTGGTATACATCTCTTTGGGTCTTACTGATAGGATTATAAGTGGTTCTTGTATTATTTTGCTTTTCTACATTTAAGATTAGTATACAATACCTAAATTTATTTTTTAGAAGATGTCCAGAGACGCGATATATCTAGACACTATGTAGAATACAAATCAATGGACGAATATACATCCAGAAGTATCCATGGCAACCGTCAAAGAGAATACAGTTTTGAGCAAAGATCCGTAGAAATCAACAACATCCGGTCGACCAGCCAGAGGCAGATCGCCGTTAAAGAACGACACAGTTCAAAAAAGGTAGAGTCAAGCGCAGGCAATGAAAGTCGCGGAAAGTCAAGTGAATACAAGGTCGCATCTGGGCCTAAATATGAAGATAAACAAAGTTTTCAAAACCACAAAGGTCGCTCAACGTCGGTACCTAGGGAAAGGGACAAACTTAAATATGAAAATTCAAAACCTCTTTCCAGAGAGGAAGCTACTGGACGAAAAGCGCCCAAGCAATTGCCAGTCAAAACGAGGGATGACGTTTCTGGGAGAAACGTCAACGAAAGCACGAGAATCTCTCCGGGGAAAAAATCGACGTCTTCCAGAAATAGACACCGGTCAGAGGGCGATCCACCATCAAAGTTTACAAGAAGTAAATCAGATCTGTCATATCAAAAATCCAAGAAATCACATTCAACCAGTGAATACTCGCCGATATCGTCCGACGAATCTCAAATCGTACACACAGACACCACCAGACTGGTCTCTAAGAGGAAAACAAAATCCATGCAACATTTTAGAACGTTTTATGACATGCAAAATGTTGAAAATAAACCGTCTATCAGAAAGTTCTCTCGCCACCAGAAATATTTTTACTCGGATGAAGACAGCAGTGAAGCGTCCATTCCGCTCAGGACGGGATTCAAGAACGGTAACCACGCTTCTTGTGTCCGTAATGGCGTATCATCCGATACAACTGTGGATATAGACGGATCATGTGACTATTCATTCCAAGCACTGGAAGGTTATAGTAAACACGGTTTAAAACATGGTTTTCCTAGTGCCCCTTATAAACGTATTAAACAAATGAATAATAAAAATATATGTGTGGCCGTTTTAGGATCCTTGTTGTTTAGTATTGGTGCTTTTCTTTTATTTTGCCCGACGGCAGCTTTGTTAATTGTGATATTCCCCGTTTCTTTCCTCATTAAGACGTCCCTGTTTTCGTGTGGTTGTACCTGTAACACCTGTTGTGAGTGTGGTATTAAGTTGTCCAAGAAGGAGCGAGCTTGGCAAGACAGTCTCAATGATACTACAACAATATACCAAGCGTTGTTAATAATCGAATTCGGTCTGGATCTTCATCGCATACGAGATTTAATAACTGCAAGACTTATATGTGCAGAGGATAAACTAAAGAGAAAACTCTACCCCAAGTTTACCAAAAAGCTTGCTCCGTCTTGTTCAGGAATGGTGTGGATTCCAGATCATAGCTTTACAATCAACAACCACGTGTATTCTTCTCCTTGTCGAGTGGAGAACCAAGAGGACTTACACGATTTCGTCTCTGAATCGTCCTCCAAACCACTTCCTTTAAACTCGCCATTGTGGGAGATACAAGTGGTGAAAAACTACGGGGATCATAAGGACACGGTCCTACTCGTACGCGTTCATCCCATTTTGTCAGATGGTATATCTCTTGCTCATTGCGTCTTAGCTTCATTGACGGATTTGGATTCCATTACCTACTCAGTGCCAAAATATTCTTCGCGTGGGAAATTTTTCAAAGCTGTGAAATCATTTTTCTATGGCCCACTTATTTTCCTAAAGGAGTGTTTATTTACAAAATCGGACTTTAATTTACTTCATGGGCGGCACACGATTCGCTCAAGTAAAAGAGTTGTATCTTGGTCGGAACCATTTCTGTTGGAGAATGCACGTCGAATTTGCCAAGTGACTCGGTCTTCTTTAAATGAGGTTCTTGTCTCCGTGGCTGCGGGATCTTTGAGGTCCTATCTCCAACTGAATGGGGTAGAGAACCCTTATAACATGCACAGCCTCATTCCAGTACATTATCGGTCAGGTTTTTCAGAATACTCAATCGACAATAATCAAAATACATTTTTGGTGATTCCGATCCCGACAAATATTGAAGGTGCTATTCCAAGGTTATGGAAAATGAAGTCTTTCATGAAGGAAGTGAATCATAATGCATTATTCTCAGTCATAAGATGGATCAGATTTCTGACCCTTTATACTCTCCCCAGTATTCTGTACAATCGTCTTTGGAAACGTGTTCGGAATAAATGCACGTGCATCATATCAAATCTCCCTGGGCCAGAGGGTCCGATACGATTCGGGTCAAGACTTATCAAGGAACTGATCGTTTGGAACCCACCACTAGATGATGTGTGTGTTTCAATAAATTTCATCTCTTTTGATGATCATATTAAAATGACCGTGATGTCAGATCCCTTGGTTTTACCCAATCCAGAGCTTATCACAAAGCACTTTACTTATCAGGTAAGCTATATAAAATTTTTAATATATCTTCTAGCATTTAATCTAGGCATTTTGCATGCATGATTTTAGCTCATTAGATAAATTGAAATTGAAACTAATGGAGTAAAAATGAGATGAACATTTTTGGAATGGTCGAACCCATTTGTCTTTCCTTCCAATACGTGTACTTCCTCGATTGCTTCAATGCTGGACCAATACTCGAATAAGAATAAGGCATGCAGGACATACACGATATGAAATGCATGAATATTTATGACAGTAACACCAAGTAATAAATCCTTACAAAAATTAATTACAGTGGGTATTATGGCAAGAGGAAATGTTACATTTGGGGACTGCATTCTAGACGTCGTTTAATCATAAAAATCATCAACATTTCAAATTAGAATAGAGTTGATATTAAATCGATACCAGTGCGGTCTTGATGGCGAATACATCATCTGAATTTGTTTTTATCGATTGTTTAAAAGCAGCTGAAAGGAAAAAAAAGACCGAAAACCCTAACTCATTTTGTAACGATACCGAGATATAATGAAGAGAATTTCGTAACATTTAGATACTTTTATTAACACAAATCAGCGTTTTACTCGAAGCTGCCAATACTTGAGCACTATATGCATCTGGTGTTGGGTTATTTTGTAAACAAAATAATTATATGATATATAATTACCCGGTATATCTTATGCAACAAAAAAGAAGGGTTTTTTGTTTCAAAGATTTTAATCAACCTTCCATACTGAACATTTGCAGAGGAAAGTGGAAACATTTAACTCGTGCCATTAGGTCTTCAAGGAGCATGTATCAGCTAACAACCATTCGCTCATTAATACATGTGTACCGGGTAGGTCCATATAAGCTTAGAGACCACAGGCGTTCAAAAAATCGTAGAGGCTAAGAGGATACATGTACACGCGGTACACCTAGAGATGTTCTGTGAAAGATCTTGCTTACCGACTATAATAATAGCAGTATTTTCTTTTAGTTCCAATGCAGGACAAGTGTTTATCCCTACAATTTCTTTCAAAGGCAAGATAATGCCAAATGTGTGCGTATGTATTTTATGCATACAGATATTTTGATTTATTAAAATTCAAAACTATTTTCTTTTTAATGGATGATTAGCAGAGAAGAAAAAAGGCTCACGAAACAGAAAAGAATTAGAAAAGGGCTTACAAAACGGTGTAGACCAAGAATTAGAAAAAGGCTTAACAAAACAGTGAAGACCAAAAATTACTTGAATGTGCTGGTTCTCTACCCATGATGTACATGTACAATACTGTCGCTAGGGAGAGACACTGCCAATCTAGAGTGAAGCTATATCAGTCTTTGCCTGCATGATTGACTTGCGTTTATTCTGGTTATCTACGATATCTGACACCAGCGCTTATTTTCTGTGGCATCTATAAGTCACGCTTCCATCGTACTTCCAGCATTAGGAAGTTTATTGTTTCCTTGCGTAAAGTAACTTAATTCGAAGGAAATTGACATGACATCAACTACCTGTCAAAAACCAATGTCAAAATAATGTATCCCAATTTTAGTTAGAAATATACAAAAAGATTCTTCAAATTAGCAACCTTCAAAACACCTTGAAAAGTCGTTGGTTTTATTTTTAGCTTTTGTTGTCGTCAGCACTTTAATTTCAAGCGAAAAGCTGACCTTTCTTCGGTGTACCAAACTCAGAACTACTTACCGAATATTGTGATTTATTGAATCGTGATGTCCAAATGACAACTTTTAAAAGAAGTTCACTAGGATTTAATCGGTTGTCAATTAGAGGTCCATGATGGACAGCCACGGTTAATTTATCGGTAAACCAAAAATTCATTCTAGACATTATGGAATATTTACTTACTAAAATCCATATCGTATGTCATATCAGCCCGAGTGGCCCCATATCAGCCCGAGGGCCGAAGGCTGCTACGGGGCACGAGGGCTGGTGTGACATATGATATGGATTTTAGCATGTAGCATTCTATTTATCATATATTTAAAATACTTAATATGTGAGTTTACAATTAAAGAGTCATTGAAGAATGTATTGCGCTGAATGTGAAGCGTTGACAGAATATCAGAATCCTGGAGCGCTTGGTTTTGATTTTTAAATTTGAACCGTAATTAAAAATAAATCAAATTTGATACCATATCAAAAGAAATTCGGTCATTACATGTGTATGTAATGTTTTTTGTAAAGATCAGATTTATTGTTTTCTCTGTATAACCAACATATGTACATGTATAATGTAATATCTAGTACATACCATGGATGGATTTTTTTCGGTGAAAAATTTTGATAACGAGTTATAAAATCTTTGAAATTGCAATGTATTTCGAGTACTCCTGCAGAGTTGTCGTTTTGATTTATTGGAAACCTCAATCTTGAAGCCTCGTAATCTAGTCCAGCTGAGAGTTATTAAATAAATTAAATCCATCACTCGCTGTCTTTCATGACATCAGCCCTAACCCTGGTGTCATTTATTGTCTCGGATAGAGAACTCGGAATTCCTTTTCCGTTTACGTCCTATTTGTTCACAGACGTATATTTATACCCCCGCTTGAAAAGTGGAAGGGTATACTGTAATCGGTATGTCCGTCCATTCTTATCCGCAACTCCTCTAGTCCGTCCGTCTGTCTGTTACGCTTTGGGGTACCCATCTCTTATCCGCAACTCCTCTAGTCCGTCCGTCTGTCTGTTACACTTTGGGGTACCCATCTCTTATCCGCAACTCCTCTAGTCCGTCCGTCTGTCTGTTACGCTTTGGGGTACCCATCTCTTATCCGCAACTCCATTCGTCTGTTATGCTGTCTGTTACGCTTTGGGGTACCCATCTCTTATCCGCAACTCCTCTAGTTCGTCCGTCTGTCTGTTACTCTTTGGGGTACCCATCTCTTATCCGCAACTCCTCTAGCTTATACCACTGAGTGAAATTTAATGAAACTCTCACAGAATCTTTATAACACATTGCCATTGTGCACCTCCTACTTTACTTTTTGATCCGACACATATTTTTGATTTCCCGGCCACAGCGCAACATGGACTTTGCCATTATAACCATATGGGAGGCGGGGGGTATTATTTAGTGAACTCATTGCTCAAAGTACCTCTAGTTTGTTCAGTAATCTTGAACTTTTATTGTCCTTGCGAATTTATAGAGTAAACCTAGTTACGTAATACTAGTGCACAGGCAGCTGATGTTACTTATTGTTTAGGTGTGAGGTTAATTTTTTTTTAGTTTTTTATATAAGAAAAAGAAGTAACGTCAGGTGCCTGCATGTGTACTAGAGACATTTCTCTCTCATCCAATAATATTTGCAACCGAATACAAACATCGCAATATAGAGTTTTCACTGCACTTTAGGATTATTACGATTTCTAAAGTAGAGTACTATTAAAATTCATTTACCGTGAATCAGAATCCAGGAGTACACTAATGAAATACCAATTAATTGAAATAAAATTTTGGCTTACAACATTAAAATTACTGTTTATACCAGGGGACCTCATAAAGCTTTGATTGCATTATCTGTAAGAATTTTTTTGTAGTATATATACTCAGTATTTTGGCATCCGTGGTTAATAAAAATGAATGTTTTCAGTTTTTCCACTTTACATGTATTAGCTCTAGTGAGCAAAATTTTCTGGGTTTTTTTTTTCTTGGTTAGGTTGTTAATTTAGATTTGCAGACAGATATTGTTCTCTGAATTATTGTTTATTTTTTGTCTTGCTTTTAATCAGCGAATCAACGGGGTAATAAATGTCAGTTATATGAAAAAAAGGTAAATGAAATTGATAATTTTGGAGTATGGAAAAGCCTTGAATAATAGAAAAAGTCTGACAGTGAGTGCCAAATGAAACGAAACTGTAAATATAACTTCATCAACTTTCATTTTGTGGGATGTATAAATAGCTAAAAAAGATCTCTCCCTCATCTAGGTTTATATTTTACTGTATTGAAAAACTTCTGTAGATGTGAGACAGTGCACTGATCAAGAACATTTGCTGGAAGGTGCTCCTCATAACATATATATAGTTGTTTTGTTTCATAATTGAATAAAAAAAATAAAAAAAGCATATTCTTTTAAAGTATATTTTTTTCCATCAGCCTGACTTTTGTAGTGATATTTTGAAACATTTGGCATATGAATTGAATTTGAATTAAACCTAGTTATTCTGATGACTCCAAGTACATGTACATGTAATTAGAAAAGATGGAAAATTAAGAAGAAATCATCTCAAGAAAGTCATTTTACAACTCATTTAATTCATTATCGATAGAATTTCATTTCGGCAGAAATGGGTTGTCGATTTAAGCAATTTTGTCCTATTCCTCTGATGGATGGACACATCGTGTTTGGTCATTTTTTAAAAATCCTTTGAAAATATTTGAATTAATTCATTTGATTCTTGTCTAAGAGTTTATCAAAAATATAAAGAGAATAAAATTTACAAGTTTTTCAAGACTTCACTTTTTTTCATCAAGCCGTATATTTTTTTTAGATGTCTTGCATCGCTGAACTTTTAGCCAATCGGAGAATTCCTGGAGATCAGGTGACCAAACGAACAGAGCCAGTTGAGTTGGACTCTGAAATCCACGCAGAACCGACCGTGGAACAGGTATAAAAATAAATGTTTCATGATTTGTCAGTTCTGTCCTTCAGGAGAAATTACGAATACTGTGATCGATCCTTTCGATGAAACTGTATAAATCGAGGTACCTTTTAGGTCCTGTCAAGAAAAACGCCCCCTTTCTGCTAAAAAGCCCCAAGGTATAGGTACAAATTTGGAACCCTCCACAATTTGTAAATGTACCCAAAATAAGTTTTTAAAAAAGATGTATATATGATTAATGGACCCAATGTTCCAGTATTTTTAGTTTGAGTGAATGATTGAACTTAAATTTCGCATTTGATATTAACCTTTGAGGCAAAACTAGGACAAAAATTGCAACAAACCAGCACAAGACGTGCATTAAGGACTGTCAAGAGTACTACAGAGTTACTAGCATTGCCTTGACACTATTTTGTAACATTATGCATTATCCTGTAGGGGGGGGGGCATTAAAAAGTCAGTATAAACTTGATTGAGATGAATAAGACATTTCTTCTTTTAGCCATGTCTTTTTTTATACCGTGTTATACCCTTGAATTAGTCTACATCAGTGAAACCATCGTTTGTTCTCGGCGGCTTTACATCATTGGCAGAAAGATAAAAGGCAGTAAATAATTCGATTCATAACATTCTGACGTTTGTTTGTCTGAAATATCTGAAGAATATAAAACACATTTATCAATGATATGACATAATAATGTTGTAAAAATTATTTCTGTTTGTGAGAAATGCTTATAGGAACACTGGCAAGTTTCAAGCGAAGACCATTAAGATCATAAACTAATTTTCTCGTAATAGATTCAGCATAAGATGTCGCTTATACAACAAGAGCTACAAGATCTGAAAATTCAGCTAGAGTCTGAGGGAAGACACAAACATGTAGCAGGCGAAACCAAAATTATCAGGAAAATCGACTTCCTTAAGGAACAGTTCAGGGAATTGCTTGTGGAGTCACGTCAGCGCCGAGCAGCGGAACAGGAAAATGCCATGATACTTTCCGAAGATGATCCGGTATATAAAAATACATAATTACAAAGAAGCATTCTGGGGTAGTGTAGATTCTAAACCATTAAACTCATAACCCCAGGGAGTAGGGTGGGTCAACAGTAGGGAATCCAAGTTTAACACTGAAAATGTATAGGAAAAATCTTTTTGAATTCTTCTCAAGAACCACAGGGCCAGAAAAGCTTAAACTGATGTGAAAGCATCCTGGGGTAGTGTAGGTTCTAAATTGTCCACATCATGACCCCTGGGGATAGGTTTGAAGTCACAATATGTATTGCACAGGGGAATTCTGTTAAAGAACAGCATGGCTAAAGTTACTCAGGTGAGCAATGTGACCCACGGGCCTCTCATTTTAACGAAAGTGCGCATCAAATCATTACAGAGCAAAGATATTCAATTGTAAGAATATAATGATACGGCCTGCCTTTTCGTACAAGACTGAATTTCCTTACGACTGTTAATTAAAATCATTACACTGCATGTGTATGCTATTGCAAGTCTTTAATTTCAGTCATACGTTTTTAAACTGTGTGTACAATTAGGGACCTAAAGTACATGTTAAAGTACATGTATGTGTTCTTGACAAAGACATGAGCAATGCGTGATATTAAGCTTTAAATATTATAGAATGGCATGTCTGAATAATTTAATAAATCCGACGGTATTTCAAATAGCTTTGAATTTCACGATTTTGATATTATAAAGCCTATTTTGCATTTTGATGAAAACAAAATATGTTTTTGTTAACGAACAACCTTGTAATTTGGGAACTTGAGGATCATAATTTTGCATTTTTCAGATACTACGTATACATGTACAATTTAATTCAACTCTAATTGTTATGAAATATGCATTTAAATAAATTCTTGCTTGGCATTCATTTGCACATATAACATATGTTACAGGATGAGGATTTCGAAGAAGATGGAGAACCAAAACGACCATTTCGCCGGAGAACATTATCTATAAGTTCCCGAATGTCTCGACTTTCTACTGTGTCACAGTCCTCGACAGTTCGCCCTCTAGCGGCCAATCCCACAATTCAGTTCGATCTCAGTTCCGAGATAGATTCTGAATCAGAAGTAAGTCCATTTATATTTTTTAATGTGGCCATATATGATTTTATTTCCACTTTTCTAAACGGATATATTTATATCTCCAAATATTTTTCCTCTTAAGATTCCAAGCAAATTGAAAAAAAAAGATTCGCGTACGTTTCTCATGAACTACCTTAGGGAGGCATATGAGTAAGAATATTTCCATTGTGCTGTAATTGACGTCAAAAAATAGTGCCTACTTTAAAATGCTTGAAAGTGTAGTCCACTCGATCTCTGTTTTGCACTCTTTGCGTACAAATTCCTGTTTATCAATGCGTTTTCATACACCAGTTTTCCGACCATTAATACGTACATTCTTTCTTTTCTAGTTTACCTTAGAAATTAATATAATTTATTTTGAATAATGTCATCATTGTAACCATTATACACACGATTATTGTCAATTCTTGTTTTTCTGGATATTGTCCACATACTAACTTCATAAAATGCTCAGTAATATGATGTCCACATGCATATTTTGCGAAAATTCACATGAGAACATATTTCCACATCAGATAGGCCGGGATATTTGCTAGAGAACAATGGCTCAGAGACTTTTTATTTTAATAACTGTAGTTTGGTGAAAGATATACAAAAAATTATCAAAACTCGTGTTAAAGTATTGTATGAACCGCGAAACTCCAACCTTTATTAAAGTATTTAATTATTATTTATAAGAATGAAACCTAAGCTATCAACAATGAAATCATTATTTTTGAAGAGAGTTTGTATGGCCTTTTTGCTAATAAGTTGCACTCCGAGAATCAATTTTTGACAGAAAGATGATAGTCGTTTTCAGAATTTCAAAAACACTTAAAGGGAATGCTCTACGCTATAGAATGTGTCTGAATCGTTAGTTTGCTTTTCCTCCTTCACCTTTTGGCATATTTTCAGGCGCGAGTTCAACATTTCCATTCCATTATTTTCCCAAAGCAATACATGTATTGTATATTTGTTATTGTAAGCAAAATTCAGCTAATATTTTTTAAGAGATTTGAATAAGGTTGTTAATTAAATAAACTGCCTAGCATATTAATTATCAGAATAAAATCAGTCGTCATGACGATTAAATCATTAAGAAATTTTACCAAATATGGTTCTACAATCAATTACTCTCGAATGGATATTTTATGTCTAGAAAACTAAACTTGTTAGTCGTTTTCAGAATTTCAACTAAACATGCATAATGCAACAAGTTATTAATGCTGACTGTTGTACATGTAATTATTTAGCAATCCATGTGACTTTTTCCTGAAAATATCGGTGCTAACACAGCGCACTTTGCTTTTCAAAATCTTCATGCTAAAATTGGTTGCATGCTTAGTTATTTGGCATATTTTCTAAATAAGGATTTGCCAGTCCCAAAGCAAATCTTTATTTTCTGTTTTGTTATTATATTGTTGTTTGTTTCCAAAAGCAATACATGATAATATATTTGTCATATATTGTAATGCAAAATTCAGCATCAACGATCTGTTGTTTAAGAGATTTGAATAAGGTTGAATAATATATAATTAAATAATAACTTTGTGTCAATTGTATAAATTAAGTTTATATATTTAATAAAATTCGATTAATCAGTGATCGTCTCTGTGGCGTAATCGATAAGGCATCGGACTGACAATCTCATGGTCGTGAGTTCGAACCCGGCGTATGCATTAAAGAATTTTAGTCAGTAAATAAGGGTGTGCACTATTTCGGCATAGTATGCTTACGCTATATGAATCCTTAGACCACTATGCGAGAATAGTAGGGTCTGGGTTATATAGAGACAAACTGACAGGAAGCAGTTTTTTGTTATTAAGAAATAGGCACTTGAATTGCATTTATTCAATTTAGTTGTAAACAATGAATTATTAATTTTGTTTTCAAAATTATGCAAAGAGTCGTAATTGCACCACCCCTCCCTTTATGGATATATTGAACTTTGACCGCCTATGGTAGTTTTTCTTTCTGAACACACATACACCGAGCATAAACACAAGTGCTTGGGGACAGGGCCCAAAATTTGTATTTATACCCCCGCTCCGAAGGAGAGGGGGGTGTACTATTTTACCCATGTGTGTCTGTCCGTCCGTCTGTGTGTCCGTGTTGTGTGTCCGTAACAAATTTTCGTCGCAGTTTTCCCAGCAACTACTCATCGTAGATGCTTGAAATTTTAACACAATCTTTTCTGAGGCATGCCATATGGTGGGATACATTTTTGGTCAAATCCGATGTCAACTTCCTGTTTGTCTGTGCATCCGTCTGTTTCATACATAACAAATTTTCGTCGCAGTTTTCTCATTAACTATTCATAGCAGATGCTTGAAATTTTAGTACACTCTTTGTGCAGGCATGATGGTGGGATTAATTTTGATATGAATCTGATGTCAACTTCACATTTTTCTGTGCATCTGCCTGTAACTGAACTTGTGTATTTTAACATGATAGTTTTATTTACATCAGAGCGGGGGTATTACTAGTGAGCATTGGCTCACAGATTTCTTGTCTCTGATGTACTAGTACTTTACTGAAACAGTTCTGTTTTAGTATATTAGGAGAGTATGATTTTTTATCCAAGGCTAGTTCAAGCTTAGATTTTTGATTTTTTTTAGCTGTCATAAATGTACTAGTACTTTGCAAATATGTCATAGAAATATATTTTGTTTCACAAAGGTCAAAGAGCCCTTGGGGTACTGAAAACGGGGCTGGGGTTCCGTCCCCAAATACCTGTGAGGAAAATAAATTGGGCAAAAATAAGTCAACAGTACATGCAAACTTCACTCAATCCTTCTTTTGGACACAATTTAACATGCTTCAACTTTTTAAAAAGATGGTTTATAAATAGTCAAACATGCAGATGTTCATATTTTCAGGCCTCCTTCAGAATGGATGGAATTTCGCAGATAGGACGACAACACCGACGACAATTGTCCGAGCAGCCCAAACAGTTCGAAATCTTGGAATATGCTTCATCGCCTTCAGTAGAGAGGAAAATGAGGACGTTTTGAAAAAAAAGTTTATCAAGCGTGACGGGATTCTATTTATAGTAACGTTAACTTCTGTTCTTGAAAATGTGTTTCCTGTGTCTTTACTCAGTATATCATATAGATTACAGTTTTCGTAGGTGAATGTGTACAGACATTCATGTATTCAGTAAATTCTAGCTTACTGCAGTTATAACACCACAAATGCTCCAAGATGTAACAATTTATTTTTTTCTCAAAGCTGAAAAAGTAAATGTTCTCTGGAATCAATTGTTTCTTACTTGCTTAAGGTTAATAATTTTTTCCTAGAAAAAAATATCAATTGCTGGATTTACTAAAAAAAAAAATAATTTATGGGTTTTGGGGGGGGGGTGATTTTTTTTTACATTGTAACATAGTTGTCATTGTTACAGTCAAATAATCTAACAGAAAGTCTCATTTCTGATCAGACAGCCTAAAACAGTGTTCTAATAAAGAAGTATATTTATTTCATTGTGTACCCTCACAATTGATAAAAGTAATATAAGGAGAAATCTTCCTAGACATCTGCTGTGGAGATAGCAATAAATTTCCAATGAGTTGTCATTCACTTAAACCACTGAATGACATGGAAACTTAATTACTTTGTTTGTAAGTATTATCATGTATTCACTGTTACATTTATAAAATTTCATGCATTTTCAAATTGAAAAATGTAATGAAATTGTGTGATTTAAAAAGTTAATTAAAAGTATTAAAAATATAATACTTATTTATTGTTTTATGACTAATATCGTCACTAGATACATGTTATACCTCAGTCTTATATAAATATTTATACTGTAAGTACATGTAGCTTTGCTATGCTGACAGAGAAACACTAAAAAAGGACAAGTGCTTAGATGTAAATATTTATTATAAATTATACATCTTCAATTTAACAACAATTCAATATTAACGGTACATAAACTAAAAAAATTGACAGAAAATATATCACATTTGGAATAAAATGCACACATTCAGCAGTAGGAAGTAAAACATACTCTAAAGGTCACTTGGTTTTGACAACTGGTTTTTATGATTTTTTGCTGTGGAGACAGGAAACTGTAATGCTAGGTGAACAGATTTAAAATCCAAAACATTAACTTCCACTTGATGTTCTGTTTCTTTCAAACCACTGGGAGAGATTAACAACAGACTTCCGTACTACGAAATGTACCAGTCCACTTGGACGGATTAATTAACGACAGAATTCCATTTTATGAAATGTACCAGTTCCACTTGCTTTCATCATCGTCGTCATCATCACTTTCCGTTGTTCCGTTCTTTTCATTGGGCATGTGTGGCAGACCTTTCCTTGAGTTCACCTTCCTCCAAATGCGTCTGAAAAAAATGAAATTACATACAGTGAAAATGAAACCAAAAAACATATATTAATTTCTAGGAAAGAAGTTTTTAAAAGCTTTTTCATTCTTAATTAATATATTATATGCCAGGCCCAGCTCAAAAATGTGGATGTCCAAAAGTAATTACTTTGTCTAGTACCAGAAAGTGACTGAAAAAACTGTAGAGTATGTTAGTAATCTTTACCTAGCGTCTCTCTCACTGGTGTCTGCATCTTGAATGGCCTCCCGTAAATCAGTCTCCATCTCTGATATACTCCTCTCCAGGTACTCATTCTGTTTCAGTAGCTTCTGAACCTCCACCTTTTATAAAGTAACAAAACAACAGTTTTATTTTTAACATTTACCAATATTTTGTTGCCTAAGATTCAGAAATAGGCTAAATCTTTTGAATTTCTACAGTAAATGTAGTTTTATAAAACTTAATAATATTCATTCATGAACATCCAAATGTAGACATTACATATATAGGACTCTAAAGTGCGATGGGACTCCAAGGTCCGATGATCACGCCAAAGTCCGATGGTCTGCGCAAAACCCTATTGGTTTGACACGCCAAAGTCCAATGGCGCAGAAAACGATTAACGTCTATGACGTCATAGTACTGCTCAAAAATGCGATGCCACGCCATGCCAATAAATAAATACAAAATATCATAAATACAAAGACTAACCCTCGTCTTTTAGATGTAGGTGTGAGACTAAGACTTATCAGTCGATCAATGAGTATCAACTCTAACTATCATAGGTGGGTGCAGGACTCATCTAAATCAGTCCAATAGTGTGCGAGGACTAACCCTCAAATCTCTTGGATGGGTTAGAAGAAACACCTTAGTGTTCAAGGAATAACCCTTATCGCTCGAATGGTGTACGAGGACTAACTCTAATCCCTCTAGTGGGTGAAAACAAAAAGCAATATCAGTAAAAATGTAAGTGAGACGAATACTGAATCAATGGATTTTGAATGCAGAATAACGTCATGACGTCGGACTATTGTGACGCACCATCGGACTTTGGTGTATCAGACACGCGCAATGTGTCTCTTAGGAAACGAGCCATTGGACTTTGGCGTGACCATCGGACTTTGGCATCTGTAAAGACAATGAGCCATCGGGGTTTGGCGAGACCATCGGACTTTGGCGTCACCATCGGACTTTGGCGTCACCATCGGACTTTGGAGTCTTACACATATACCATATGATTCATATGAACACGATGCTGATTTTCCTTACAACTATCAACACAAAGGACTTATATTTATAACACTGTTACTCAATTAAAAAATTTTGAAATTAGCAAAGATATTTAAGTTATGACGTACATATCATGATTTTGGCGTGCAGTTTGAAATGGTAAAACTTTGTAATATTTTTCATCTGTATACACAACAAAGTACCTGAACAAACTATAATAATGGGATGGGCATACCTCAGTTTCTTTAATACACTGTTCTAGATGAGTGCACACAGTCAGGGGGACATACTCTTCTCGTAACTTTGTGCGGAGCGCATTCAGGTCGTCCAGCTTTTCGAGGATCAGTGCTTTAACATGTTCAATTTCATCGGCAAGTTCTGCTGTAGGTTCCTCATGGTAAGCACTGGCTAGCTGTATTCTGGGTTCTATAAACCATTATTAAGCATAATAAATCAATTGAAAATATTCAGAAAAAGCAGATTTTTTTTTCCTGAAACAGGATCAACTTTGTTTTATGCAATATTAATTGTTCTGAATTGCATTTACTGGGTAAATATAAAGAGCAGTCTTCTAGAGCATGTAAAGAATATTGCATAATAATACTGTTAAAAAGTACTTCTTGTTAGATATACATGTAACATAAAACTTGTTAAATGTTGTGTTTAATACAAGTTCTGTAACTCTTTCTGTATTGTGTTACATTTGTAGTTGGGGAATTCAAGTTCATGTATACACTTAGAGAGAGAGATGAGGGTGAGGGTGTGTGTGTGTGTCGGGGGGGGGGGGGGGGTCTTACCGGGCTCACTGGGTTCCCTGGCTAACAATTCCTCCTCCTCCAGTAAGGCTTTCCGTAACCTAAAATTACAAACACATTCTGTTAAGTCACCAAAGTCAGCATTCCTAAACAAATTCAGTTTGTAGCTTCCATTATTGTTTCAACATGGTCAAAATATTGCATTAAATAATTTCTCTGTTCATTAAATAATTTTTCTCTTCATTAGATAATTTCTCTTTTCAGGAAAGTTTTTTTCACAAAAGGTGTCCATTTAAGTGTTGTTGTTTCCTTGCCAAAAAAGAAGATATAAATTCAATCCTCCCCAACCCTTTCAAGAATATTAATGGTAATTTTTAAATAAGTAAATATCTTCTTTCAAATATTTAATTATCAACCACAAATGGTCAGACATGCTGTAAAAATTAAAAAATTGACACATATCAATCCTTACAGGAATTTCATGTAAATAATTGTAAGTGTAAGGTGAATAAAGCAATGTTAAAAGCATGTTGAAATACTTTGTGAGATATTCATTTATACATTTAGTGATCAGCTTCAGTGTTTCCCTACCTTTCATTATTTTCCAGCAGTGACTTGGCCTTGTCTTCTAACTTGACCACTTTGTTTTCCGCCTCCTCCAATTCTTTCGGCCGTGACGTCCCTCGGAACACCATTAGCTCTACCTGTGTACGGAGTTTCTTGGTATGATCTGGAGACTGCTGGTCTAGTAGTTTGGAGATGTAATTGTCATATTCAGTCTGAAAGAGATATTAAAGAAATTCATGGAATAACAAGTTAGACAATAAGTTTTGTTTTTAACATTTTCCATTAAACATACATCATAGCTATAGGTGACAAATACAGATCCAGTGCTATAAGCTTACACTCTCTTGCCCATTTGACTTTTCTGTGAGTGAATTTCTACTTTTTTCCAACTTTGTGTTCAAATGATTTATAAAGTAACATACATGTAATTTATTTTGTAACATTGTTATGTAAAAATAACGGAAAATCATAAAAGTCATAAGCATCTAAATTTCTTTATATCATGTAATCTATATAAACATTTTATTTTTAATACGTACACTTTTTATGATTCTTCTTTATGGAAGATTTTAATGAAAACTAGACTATTTAAATTTTACCTACCTTTATCTCCCTCAGTATATATGAAAATGTTGGACTTTCCTCTATTAAATCCTCTAAAACGTTACTATACACCTGGAGTTTGTGAAAGTTGGGTCGGTGATCATCAATGAAGTCAAGTGTTTCCAGCTCCTGGGAAAGCATAAAAGAGAGTGAGATAAATATGAATCATGGAATCAAACCCCTAGCTAGCACTTCAAACTGAAAAACTGAGAAAATCATGTATATTGTACCTTACAATGCATTTATTTTAGAAATGTAATAAAAATAGGTACCTGTTCCTGGAAAATATGTGATTTATAAAAATATTATTATTATAGATCTATGCTTACAATGTAACATTAAAATGCTAAATATTTACAGTGGTTCATTTTCTTAAAAAAAAATTCAAAAGAAACTATATAAAGTAGAAAGTTATTTTTTCCAAATTCTGAATCAAGCTCTTGTAGAGCATTTGTAAGAAGCTTTTTTTTGGTTTAGATTTTACGTTAGGTGTGTACCTGATATTACTTTTTCATGCTTTTCTAACTCTTTATACATAATTATCAATCTAATTAAAATTGGACCTTTCATCTCGCTCTTTGTAATTTTATTGCTTGTGAAAGCCTTTCTCGCACGACAAATAAAATTACAAAGAGCGAGATGAAAGGTCTAATTTTAATTAGATTGCATACTTTTTATATATAGCTAGTTTTTACTAATGATTATTCAAGGAATATATAATCTACAGTTTTAAGCTGTTTTACACAAGAATATCCATTTACCTCCTGTAGTCTTTTTTCTAAGTGTTTGACAGCTTTCACACCAGACAGTACATGCTGTTCAGAAGCGTCCTTTAATCCGATGACTTGATCTTCCATTGATTTAAGTTTCTCATATTGATCCCTTTTGGTAACCCCAATATGATGAGTGGGCAAAAACTGGTGCCTGAAGGTTAACATATTGTCTATCTGAAGACTTTTCTGAATGTTTTCCATAACGTCATACTCCTCATTTTCCTCTTCCATTGGGGGTAGCCTTTTTGATCGTCGACTGTTCCCTGGCAACATTACTTCCTCGGCTTTGAGTTCTTCCACTAAAACACCATCTTGGAGTTCTGTGTAAATAGATTTCTTAGATGCAGCACTGGGATTTCTCTTTGTTGACTCAGGGCGATCATCTGTGGTTCCTATTGTGGTCCCAATTGTACTAACTGGGGTCTTCACGTTTTTGTATCGAATTTGTGAAGCCATGTTTATCTCACTAGGATATAAGGGTAAACTACCCGTTGTTCCCACACTGAAGTCATATAATGTCTCCTTCATTTTGGCCTCTCTCTGGGTTGATTTTCTAACATTAGACACTGGAATGGTGCTTTTTTCAACAAGTGATATTCTCTTCCCCTTCCCAGCTGTCCATTTACTACTTGCCCATGATGAGGGTGGTTTATACAAATAAGCTTCATTCAAATGACCCCCTGCATAAGAATGAATGTCATGTTTCTGAACACCTTCCACATCATTCAGTAGATTTTTCAGCTGCTTACGTGAAGTAAAATTATAGGCTGTCATCTTTCACATGAATGAATTCAACTCTCAAGTGTGATTATGTATCCTAAAAATAAAATGAACATTTATTCGGGTGAAAAGTGTTGTCACAATGCTTACTGCTTATAAAGTGGATTTAACAAAAATGATAGAGCCTAGTAAATTTCATATGACTAGGCCTATATGTTCATCAACTGGAGTAAAAATGTTTTGCAAATCCTTTTAAAAACAAAATAAAAATATCATAGCTTAAAAATTAAACTTTTCATACTTAATTTGTATATTGCAAACTAAATAATTAAAAGATGCAGCAAAATTTACCCATTAGTGCTTGAAGAGAAAATTCGGACAAGACGTGAAGCTTCAACTTTTTGCATAAAAGGCATATAATATTTCTTCAACATTTAAAAAAAATCAAGTTGTTCACACACCTCGTTACTACATTGTAGTTTTACCGAAATATTTCCACATACCAAGAAAAATACAGTGCAAAAAATCTTTTGTTTCAAGTAGTTATGGAGACAAAGAAGAGTTCCTTCAAGTTTGATAACTCTGATATAATCAATGTGCCAGTTTTTAGCATTAGTCAGGCACCTGTATATATATGATACTATATCTTATATGTTTCCCTCTTCAATGTAATAAGTAAAAAAAAAAAAATGGGAGAGGACACCAGGTTAGGGCAGATTTATTTTTTTCTTGTTATCTGAGGACAAAATATTTATTTTTAAAAATCGCAAAGACAAATTTTTACTTCCCGTAGGCGTTGGAAGCAAATTGAAAAGGGGGGGGCTTATATTGAAAGTTGGGAGGTAAACCAACAAAAATATGTAAACCCCAACTTTCAATGCTTATAAAATGTCTATCTTTGCAAAAAAAAGTGTAGGACTAAGCCCCCCCCCCCCCCCGTTTCCGACGCCTATGTTTCAGGCCCCAGGATCATGAAACAGACTGAGACTTAAGTCAAATTTTTAATCGCCTGTAAAATGTTTATCAATTATTGAACGAATCTCTAATTTTGCAGATAACAACCCTTTTGTAAAGCAATATTAAAAAATGTTTTAGTTTTTGTCTACTTTACTTAATCAAAATTCTAGTTCAACATGAATAATTTGACTTAAAACTTAAGATGTTTCATGATCCTGGGGCCTGGTGTCAAGTCAAGTAAATTTTATTTTATACAATTCAACAGAAATAATGAGCTGTGGTGAGCTGTTAACCGACTTTAACATATTTACACAAAGATAAAAATTAGTAAAAAATATACATTGTTAGTAAAACAAAAGATAATTTTAATGAAGCCATTTAAAATGACACTTTAAGGATAAAGAAAAAAAATCATAGATACTAGCACATATTACAAAGAATAGACTAAAAAAGAAGCAGCATATATTGTTTTGCACACGGATGAATATCACAGTCCTAATAAGCACTGATCATGCTGATTAAAAAAAATAATTGAGAGAAATAAATAATATATATGACTGTTAAAAGTAACAACATCCATATAGCGCAGTACAGTACATAACATTTACAAACACTGACAGAAATGAAAATTGAACAACAAGAAAAGCAACATAGAAAGCATGCAATTATTCATATGCTTTGCACACATATGGACATTCACAGAACATAATAATAATAACAAAAGGGAAAAAATGAATATATATATATAATATAGACAAAACAAAAGCGTACACACACAAAAAGTTCAAATGACTGCAAAAGAACATTTAGGAAGGTTTCTCAGACAAAGGCAGCCTGGACTGGTATTTACATACACTACAATTACATTTTTGATATCCACACCAGGTATAGATATGTAGTTCTTGAATAAATTAAATGATGTGGTATTTCGGATATCATTGGGAAGGGTATTCCATGTCCTTGCTGCCTCATATCTGAAAGAACCTTTTCCATACCTTGTAGTTTTAGGTCTGGTAATATCTGCGGCTTTAGAATACCTAAGATTATATGAGTTTTCTTTAACTTTGACCAGATCTTGAAGAAAGAGTGGACTCTTTTTATTAATGATTTTAAATGATTCTAATGCCAGTAATCTCATTCTTCTGGTTTTCAGAGGGGGGGGGGGGGAATTTGGATCTTTCCAATAGTTGTTCATATGAGCTTTCATAATCATTATAAATAAAACGCAGCGCTCTTATATGAATTTTCTCAATTTTTTTTTACTATTTTTCTCACTACAAAAGTGCCAAGTCAGGGGGCAATAACTAAAATTTGACATAATAAAACTATGGTGTATAGTACGCTTTCCCAATCTATTCAGATATTTCCCAATCCGTTTCAAAACATTTAGTTGTCTTGCTGCCTTCTTACATATCTCTGAAATATGAGTGTTAAAATTTAGCTTAAAATCAATTGTAATTCCTAAAAGTTTAACTTCATCTTCACATTTGATGATAACATTTTCCAGGTCAAAAAAGATTTGTTGTTTTTGTGTTTTAGCCTCTACTGCGATTGCTTGGAATTTTTAAGGATTTGCCTTCATTTTATTAATTGAAAACCATTTAATAAGAGAGAGACTGTCTTCCTGTAAAGAGTTAACATTTTGCAAAGTTTTATGAGACTTTGCTAAAGTATTGTCGTCTGCATAATTGTAAAGAGTGCACTTTTTAACAAAAAAGAACAGGTCATTAATAAAAATATTAAAAAATACAGGTCCAAGAATGAATTCTTGAGGAATACCTTTCAGAATATCCAACATTTCACTTAAATGGGAACCAATCTTAACACACTGTTTCCTTTTTCATAGATAACTCTTTAACAAATCTAATGCTGGACAAAACCCGTAAAAGGGTTGATTGACATCCAAAACCTGGTCTAAAAGCAGCCAAAAATGGGTTAAATTTTTTTTCAAAAGTATTTCAATGGCTTTTTCAAAAATTTTTGAAACGACAGGGAGCACACTGACAGGTCTGTAATTGTCTTTAATAAGAGCACTATTTTTCTTATGGATTGGTGTAACCTGTACTTCTTTAAGCTTGTCAGGGAAAATTGAACATGATAAAGACAAGTTAATTAATTAATAATGTTTGTAATAGGTTTTGCTATAACGGTCTCTGCTAAACGGAGTAATTTAGATGATATACCATCAATACCTATGGCACGCCAAATTCACAAAAAAGAGCAAAACATAGTTTCACATTCGATAAACTAGGTTTATCGTTTGTAAACTATAGTTTACGGACTGTAAACTATAGGTTGTTAATCTATATTTTACATCTGTAAACCATAGCTATATATAACGCGATAATCTATGTTTCACAACCGTAAACTATACTTAACACCGAAAACTATCATTTGCGATTGCAAAACTTAGATTATCTGATAAATACAGTTTCACGATTTGTAAACTATAGTTTACAAACCGTTAACTATAGTTAACGATCTGATAAATATAGTTTCATGATTTGTGAAACTATGATTAACAACTCTGAACTATAGTTTACAAACGTGAATCTATGTTTATCAACAGAATCTATTGTTAACGCTTTATTACAGACAGATAAACATAGATTAGCATTCGTAAACTATAGTTAACAACCGTTAAATATAGCTTTACAGATGAAAACTATACTTAACGAATCGTTAACTATAGTTTACGGTTTGTAAACTATAGTTTACAGTCGATAAACCTAGTTTATCAATTGTGAAACTAGGTTTAGCTCATTTTCGTGAATTTGGCGTGCCATAAATACCCGTAGCCTTCTTTACATTTGTTTTGCTGATCTTTTCTTAACAAAATTTTCGGTTACACTAGTAAAAGAAAATTCTTCAGATATATTTGTGGAGTTTGTTTGAATAGCAGCAATGCTTGGGTGTTTGTCATCTACTTGCACACTATTTTCTCCTATATCTTTGGCAACATTTACAAAATCCGGCCAACATTTTCGAAGCAATTTTATTTTACTTTACTTGAAAGTTGTATTATAAGAGCAGAACGTGTATATACTAAAAATTTAGATAACTGAGTTTATTCAACATAAAACAATACATTTATACAACAGTATATTTTTTTGTTTAAAATTTGAAGTAAATATTGGCATTTCTGCCGCTGTTCATAAATTTATAAATGAATCTTGTACTTGTAGATTAAGCTAGATGTATTATTGACTTTTTGCCTGACAATTACTAAGTGTTTTTTTTAAGGAGAAGAACTAGTTAGTTGTTAGAACTTATTTCTTATCCTTTTGGTTACCAATATGTTCAACATTGGCGGATATATGGGGGGGGGGGTCCGGGAGTTGGAACCCCCCTTTATATTTGTACACAGAGAAAAAGAGAGAGAAATATAGAATGATAAATAGAGAGAGTTTTTTCCTGTAATATAGATATTTATATATACGTTTAATGATTTGAAAAAATGAAAAATCTCTTTTCTTCTCGCTGGATCTGTGGATTTTCGCGTATTAGCTTTCCTCCACAACCCCGGCTAAGGGCTCCGACCACCCACAAGTAACATGCAAGGAAGATTCCGGGGAACTTTGGACCATCTTCAGAACTTACTAACTTTTAGAAGGATCTACAGGTATAAGGTATTTTTAATCAACGAAGAGAAAGGTTTAAAAAATGTTCCCGTGGTATGTGGATGGAGAGGACTCATTTTTTCTGAGAATAATCTTTTGCTGTAGTTCTAATTACTTTTTTTTTGATTTGGAAGCTCCTTCCACATTTTTTGGCCGGAAAATACGCAGATTCAAGCATTTAAAAGTTATGTAACGAACAGAAAAGTTACAGGATCCCCCCTCCACCCCCATTCCCAAAAAAGGATTTTAGAGTGTGGTGCATAAGTTTTTTTTCTATTTTTTTTGCTTGTCAACTATTTTTTTTATAAATGTAGCTACGGACTTGAAGTGGCCTTGGTGGATCCGCCCGTGTTAAAAAATAATGTAAATATGCAGGCTCATAGAGCGAGGAGAGGAAGCAACCCCCTTCTTTTCTGAGTTAGTATTTCGTAATAATAATAAATTTTACTTTAGATGCATGCTGCTTGCCCCTTTTTAATGGCCGAAAGACCGAGTATTGGTATTTTTTGTGGGTGGTGTGTTAAATTTTTTTTAGAAGAACTTTGCACCCCCTTGATACTGGACTTGATACGGGCCTGAAATGATAACCAGATTTCTACATGGGATATATTTAGTTATTTTATTATTTACAAAAAAAAAAGAATAATTAACTTAAAACACTTCTTCCTAAAAAGAGGGATATGCTAGAATTTTAAAAGAAAAAAAAAACTGTTTACGTGTTCAAATAAAAAAGTGTACCATCCATTTACAAAGATTACCAGTCTTGTCCTGTCTTATGGCTGACCAATTACATGTTAAACACACAATTTAGTGTTAGATACTTTTAAAAGTATACTGCAGGACCAAATGGGAACTGGTTTTCACGCATTCTTTACAATACAGGCATTTGTCTAGCATAAGATAAATGGAGGGCATAAATATCAATATGACACACTTATGCATCTTCTACCGGTATTTTACCCATGCATAATATCGCCGGATAGAAACACTAATTTTAATTGTCGTGATTAAGTCTTTCGAAATTGGCAGTTAAGTGCAACATTACAACTAATTACTTGATATCAAGTATCTTTAGGGAATTTACCAGGAAAATGATTAAAGTGGCCTTATTTTCTATTCTTCGATTGGATGATATCAAATGTAGGGATTTCCTTTCATGACTCGATCTGTATAAGTGCTAACCGTTTTCATCGTAGTACGAAGGGGGTAATTATATAATTATTTATTGAAGCTTTTTTCTCAAGAGGGGGAACACTGTCTATATATTTAATGACACGTACACATATTGTGGTATAAAACTGTGTGGATCAAAATCACTATCATATTTGACTCAGGTGATACCATGAATATGTTCTGTACCCTGTTGTCGGTATTTGTCACCATTGTTCACGTTGCGTCTTTCTCACTACTCACAGACGAGAATGGACACAACATCACCGACATTGGCAGAGTGGATGAGCAAAACGTGGAAATATTTAAACAACTCCTGAATCAAGAGACCTTAATCAGAATGGCCTTAGTGAGAAATGTCCACATTCTGATGAAAGACATGATAACCGTGAAAGAAGGCCTAGCTGCAGCTGAAAAGAAGATTGTTGAAAATCAGGCTTCTGCTGATCGGGAAATAGCGGAATTAAAAAGAGAAGTGAAAATACTGAAACGCGAAAACAGCCTGTTGAAAAATGAAAGTTATGTACACAAACAACATCTTGCGAATATGGATGAGAACATCACACAGATTATGCAGCACAATCAAGACGTTCAAATAAAAAACGAGGCCGAACGGAAAATGTTTGAGAAAAATATTTCCGATACAATTTCGGACATCAAAATTGAAGTTCGTTATATGTCGGTAACCTTACTTGATTTAAAATCACAAACACGCGATATCGAAAGTCGTATTCCCGATTCTATCGAAGAAAAGAGCATGACAATTTTCAGAGCTGTGAATTCTTCGTTAAACGATATCAACACAAAGTTATTGTCTACGGACAACAAACTTGCAGCTGCAGTTTCCAAACTCGAAAAGTCACAAGCAGAAACTGCATTATCTTTTTCTGGTAATTATTTCAGAATTTCATTCTAGACTACATTATTTTGTTAGACAGACAGAATTGTTTGGGCTGTAATATTTCAACACGATAAGTATTGACAGCTAAGAGGAATAACTTCAACGTCTAGGGTTTTGGTTTCGTGATGTGGTCAATCGGTTTGCTCGCGTGATGCTAGTAATTTACAGAAACGCTTAACGCATTTATGCATAAAATTATCACGCCAACAAAGTAATTGATCACTGCCAATGAAAAATAAAACAGACTATTTTTTCCTTATAGATCTATACATTTTTACCTGATCCTTTATGCAATAAAAGATATTTTAATTCAGTTATAACAAATCTGTTACGTGCTGAGCAAATCGATTTATAAGGATATAAAGCGACTGCATAAAATTATGTACCTTATTTGTAGTTTTATCTCGGACAAGTTAGTCATTTGAAAAATAATGAGCATTTATCAAAATGAGTGTAGAAGTAAACATCGTGGATGAATTGTTTGAGCTTTGTCTGTAAAATATGAAATGACTTGTAAAAATTATCTTACATTTATGAATACAAATAACTAACAAATACTGAATTTATTTTCAAGATGATGTGAATGCTACAATAGAAAGTCTGAAAGCTGAATTTAAGCAATCTCAGTTTGAACAACTGAAGTTATCTGCTGCAGTTACCTCTCTGGAGATGTTCCGAATGAATGTGACAACTTGCGGTATTATTGGAACTTTTCTATTGCTTTTAATATTATCAATGCTTAAAAGACTTGCTTGATTTTTGTTTTTTGTCTATTTTCGCATCGTGTTCAGGAGTTGAGTTTTCAACCCTTGATTATAAAAGATAAAAACTCATATTTATTCGATATAATTATTATGGAATTTAATAGATTTGTCCGGTAAAATCGTGAACAAAGCGTTTTTCTCGAAAAGTAATGGGTGCACTAAGCTGAAATTTCCAGTAAATGTTTATTCATCATATTCATCATATGCATCATAATTTTTTTTGATAATATATAGACAAAATAAAGATTTTATTTTTTTGCTTGAATATGCACAGGGTACGGTCCTACGGCGCACGGTATCAGAGAATACACAAGTATTAATTCGAAATGAAAGTTTTAAATACATATTAAAGATCGGGATGAAAATTATTCTAATTCGACTCCTTAATCAATTTTGTCATCTTTTTAAAAAATTCAATGCATTTGGTTAATTTTTGGCAAATTCCCGAGCATTCGAAATGGGAAAGTGGTAAACACAATACACGAAACATGGCGACGTTTGATGATGTTACGGCGCATCGGAGAACAGTTCGTTTGATTAGGGTGTTATAATGACAGCTTAAGAAACTTTAAATGAATACAGAAGAAAAAAATATGAAAAATATCACCACATACAAATGAAATGGAAGTTTTCTGAGCGAAATCTTTTTGATCGAGTCCCCATGTAGTACAAAACATACGGACAAACTGCTATAATTGTAATAGCGAAAGACGCTGTCAATGTCGAACGTCGATATAAGATTCTCTATTAGCCTAGTTGAATGATGGCGTGAATACTGTCCGTAACTTGCTAATAAATCTTCAGAAGATCGCATGTGTGCACCAGATTGGTTCCTCAGACTCATGTATGTGAGTCAATGGAATTTCTAAATTTAAGTGGGACTTATCCAACTTTATTTTTAGCAAAGATGTAACGTGGCGCTGTTATATAGAAACTTTGATTTCGTTATATCATCTTCTCTGCGCCGTAGGGTATTAAATAAACAATATATAGCATAAAATCTCACAATTTGTGTATTTATGCATATATCTTTTTGAAATTTGCTCTGTACATTCATAATATACTGAAACGCAAACGAACGCAACATCCTATTTTTAATAGGGAAAAATAATGATATATGGTAAAGAATGCATGGTCAATTTTGTAAATATCGGTAATTTTACGGTTGAACGATCTTCGTATCATTTTCGGAAATTAAGTTTAAGTCTGCGTAACAAAAATTAAAAATTGCATGTTTAACAAAACAGTTGGCAATATAATTGAGTTTAAAGAGTTTGTTATTGTTCATCATAAAGAATTCAGCAATATTTAAAAAAAAACCTCTCCTTTTGTTTCCCGTAGCAATGCTAAGGCTTCCTGAAAATGACGTTAGTACGTATCTCCATTTTTCTAGCTGGAAAACCTCAAAATAAAGGTGATGGAGAGTTACTGATGCAAAAAAATACTACATTACCCCTAGACAGACTCTAACGTATCATATGCATTAAGTCCGTGGACCGGAAGTTCGAGTGTTTCTACACTGCGTTAGGTTAGAGAAAATGCGACCTTATCAACTAAAAAAGGCATTTAAAAGTGGCAAAAAATATTTCCTTTGCTCAGATATCTATATTGTTGAACTTACTGAATCGTAGAAATTAAGCTACAATTGTTGTATGGGGCAGCCTTGCACGCTTTAATTTAATGTCTGGGAGGTGGGTGTTCTATATAACAGTCATATGCTACTTTTTAAATTTGAAAGATAATCATTAAACATTTTTATCAAATTTCTGATGTTTGAAAAGTGAGTTTAGGCTCACTGACTTCATTTTTGGAAATCATTAGATAAAAAAAATCAAATGTTTGTAGATCACTGCTAGTTGCGTTTCTTTTGCGTTTCAGTATATATGTACTAAAGAGTTGTGAAAGTTTCAGAACGCGGTGATGATTATTTTTCAAACTAGACAACTTGTCCACGATTTTACCGGACAACCCTCGTAATATAAGTTCCTTTACTATATGACACACTAATGTAACAAAACATTTAAAAATAAAGTTTTTTTTCCGAAAGGTATGATAAACAGTTCTTGCTTCATATATTTCTGTTCAAATACTATTTAATATTATCAAAATTCTGTAAGTATGTTTATTCATTTTTTTAAATATAGACATATTACCAATACTCTCATGACAGAGTATTTTCAAAATAAATAAATAAATAACTCGAATGAAAACGTAAACATCATTTCGATTTTTTCCTGCTTCATCAACTTCTCAGAGAGCCCCATTCACCGTATTCATTGAATGAAAGTTTTATATCACAATGTTTATGATTGATATTCACACAATCATACTCACTGAGGTCTTTTTTCACGTTTCAAGTTAATTGATTTTATTTCGTGTCATTATTAGGTCAGCCAAAGAAAGTGGCTTTCACCGTTGGAGTGATGTCTTCAAATACCGGTTGGAACAGTGGCGCGTTAATATTTCCCTCGGTAATCAGTAACGTTGGTGGTGGGTATAATCCCTCAACCGGAATCTTCACTGCCCCCACTGATGGAAATTATATCTTCTTCCTTACTGTCGTGGAGTACCAAAAACAGTATAGTAAGGTAGACATTGTTATGAATGGGGTTTCTAAAGTCAGAACTATGGGACACTCAGATGCATCTTACCAGACGGGAGTAAACATGGTTTTTCTGCAGCTTCAGCAGGGAGATGCAGTGTGGGCCAGAAGATATAGTGGTACTGGCTATTATTCCAACAGTGTTCCCATTACAACGTTCTCGGGCTTCCTCTTGTAACTTTGATTTTCCAAGAAAGATTGATTGGTCTATACAAGAATGCTATCATGATAAAAATCGAAGCAGATCTAGAGGGCCTCCCCTGGAATTTTCAGATACGCATGTGTTTCAATGAATTTGAAAAAAAAAACAAACAAGCTAATTCAGAGAATTCGTGTCCCCCGCTTAGGGAAAAAGTCGGCTCCTCCGACTGAATTTGTATTATTATTATATGTATACATGTATACTGAAGCAAATAAAGTATGTCAATATGCACATAAAGATTTGATTGCTTATTCGTTATTATGTGTATGGAAGATTCTTTTTATATGGAATATTTATCACACTGTAATGATGATTTTATGAGTTTGTACAAGCCAGACCTCATAAATTTTTCATTTCACATGCTGAATACTATCATTTAGTAAAAAAAAAAAGTATTTCGAAAAAAAAAGAATATGGATCGTCCGGGATTCGAACCCGGGATCTTTCACATGTGAAACGAGAGACAATACCGGTAACTCTCCTCATGCCCCTGTGCTAAAAATAGCGACATATAATACAATAACAGGTCTGGACGATTTCTAAATATGGAAGTCAAGAACGATAATCGAAAGTTGCTATAATTGTACATCAAGTACACGTAATTATTTTTCTGTCCAATCAGACAACAGCATTTTTACACACCCCAAAACATATTTTAAAAGAACAAAAAGATAACACGTGCTTTTGTTTTTTTCCTCAAAAAGATTTTTTTGACAAAAAATCTGTAGAAATAAGATAAAAACTTTTGAAGAATAAGGTATTCCCCAAATTTTTACCGTGAACCTTGACATTTTTATCTCGGTAAAGAAAAAAAATAATGCACGATAGAATGTAATCGTTTACAGAGGTATAGATCGCACCAGCAAGTTTTTATCGAGATCAATTATAACATTTACCAGAATATATTATATGATGGTAAATATAATTTTGCTTAGCCGTCCGATTTTCATCGATAATGCTTAAATTCCATGTGTATATATAGATCAACTCGCACAAGTGTTTATCGTATGGAGTATACACATATACTAGTGGCTTTGCATATATCACGGGTTTCATGAGCGCCGAATACTTAGCTATGCAGACTTTAAATGGGCATAAGGAAAGGCGTTTAACGTGGAGAAAAGAAAATCCTGTAATTATACATGAATGCGTTTTATCCCAATATCTTATCTCGCATATCAGAAACTGCATGGACTACTAGTATTCTGTAATAAACACTCAAAAATAATAAAGACTGTTATCTTTTCGATGAGATTTTTATGTCAGGCTCTAAAAACTGAAAATTTACCGTATTTATATCAATTTTTTAACGTAAGTAAATCTTTGGGATTGCTAACTCCTATACACAGATTTTCTTTATTCCACTTAAAACGTATTTCAAGCTTTCAAGTCGTGTTTGTTCACGGTAGAATTGTCATATTTATTATATTATTCCCAAATGCGCATAAAGTTTACAAAAACTTTGTTCTAAAAAAATCTTTTGAGCAAAAAACTTAAAAACCACGTGTTTTATTTATTCTCTAATGGGTTTGTCTAAATGCTGTTATCTGATTGGTCAGAAGGATTAGTGCATTGTTTATTCTGTGTATTAATAGCAATTCACAGTCATCGTTCTTGACTTCCTTATTTAGAAATCGTCCAGACCTGAATAAATACTAATAAAACAAACGGGGCGGGACACTTTGAGAGAGGTGAGAGAGGTCCTAGGGAGTTTTGGTATAAAATTACATTGCAAAAGCTCAAAATCCTCTTGAAATATCGCCCGAAAAGGATAGTGTTACACACAGACATAATGTATAAATTTACGACCTTGAACTTTGACCTTTTGACCTCAAAATAAATAGGGGTCTACCACTTTTTATTAAATTGTACAGAATATTCCAATTTCAGATCAGATTTATTTACTAGCATTAGATGTAACCCAACTTTGTCTATGTCAGATCAAAAGAGTGTGAATTTTCTTTTAACAAATTTTCCTAGGCAGACCTCAAAATATTTATACCTTTCATAGATGCACAGACACTCTCCGTTGTACAAAATACGCCATGCGTAATATTTGTGTATATATTTTTCATATATTTTGTTTAAAGTGACATATAGGTCCGATGAGCCTGGTGTTTGGATATTAATTGTATTAAATGTTTTTCATTGTACTGTATAACACATGTCACTATAATAAACAATTTACTTACTTACTTACTCCATAGGCAACAGGGAGTTGTTATGTAAAATTTCATTGCAAAAGCTCAAAGGGTTCTCGAGATATCGCTCGGAAACGAAAGTGTTATAACAGACAGAATTTGCGAATTTATGACCTTGAACTTTGACCCTTTGACCCCAAAATCAATAGGGTTCTTCTTTAGTCCATAGGGAGTTGATATGCAAAATTTCATTGAGAAAGCTCAAAGGGTTCTCGAGATATCGTGTGGAAACGAAAGCGTTACAGACAGACAGAAAGACGGACGAACGGATCCACGGACGGACAGACCCAAATTAATATCCCCCACTTTCAAGCGGGGGACAAAAACCAACAACACTGGGTATATATTTGGTGTGTCGTCTGCAGAATTTATGTATCGAAACATTTATGCTTTAAATACCCTGCTCAATCTTGTCGTCTGACAGCAGGTGGACAGACTTTACACGGACACAGGGTTAATGCAACTTACAAGTAGGGCTGTGTATCGTTGGGGAGAATTAGGATGTGTCATCACGATACTAGTATTTTAAAAAAATACATGTATATGGCAATGTATGATAATTATAAATCAAGATTTAATTTTACAAAACTCTATTTAAAGTCTTGTATTTTCTGAAACAAAGATAAAAGTATTTTAGTTTAAACTTTTTCTTTTACTTCTAACACAAGATGCGTTTTGTGAAACACTGATGAACCCGTATGTCATCTTTGCTATAGCCAAGGGTTTCTGATACGCTGCTTTCCTCATAAACCCTTGGTATACGGTGTTGAAAAAATTGAGTTTTTTTTTCAAGCTTTGATTGGGGTGGATCGATCGACATAGATCGACCAATCAGCAATTGTTTTTTGGAAATGACGATATCTGCGTTCGGGATATATTTTGGAGATAACGAACAGTATTCAATATCAAAGTCCATAAAACAATACAAAATAGGAGCAGAGCAAACACGGACCTCTGAAACATCAGAGGTGGGATCAGGTGCCATGGATCGAGGAGTGAGCATCCCCTGCTGACCGGTCACACCCGCCGTGTGCGCCTCGACATGATCGGGAAATAACAGAAAAATCCGTCGTCAATTCAGTCTATAAACAATGGACTAACAATTAGTATGAACAAGCTAATTCAGAGAATTCGTGTCCCCCGCTTAGGGAAAAAGTCGGCTCCCCCTGACTGAATTTGTAGAATTATTAAATGTATACATGTATACTGAAGCAAATAAAATACATGTATGTCAATATGCATATAAAGATTTGATTGCTTATTCTGTATTATGTGTATAGAAGATTTTTTCTTATATGGAAGGTTTATCACACTGTAATGATGATTTTATAACCTCATAAATTTTTCATTTCACATGCTGAATACTATCATTTAGTAAAGAAAAAAAAAAGTATTTAAAAAAAAAAAAAAAAAAAAAAAAAAAGACAGGATCGACCGAGATTCGATCCCGGGACCTCTCACATCTGAAGCGAGAGACATAACCACTAGACCACGGAATCGCTTTACGCGCTGTGAAGTATATGCAGAATTGAAGTCACATACATGTATATATTCATGTTTTCATGTTCGGTATTCTCAAAATTTTACACAATCCATGGTGTTTGATTTATTTAGCCTTTATTAAACAGTTCTAATAGATGTAATAAGAACATAAAGTCCGCCGAGAACCTGTTTTATGTATACGCACTCATGCCCCTGCGCTAAAAATAGCGACATGTAATACTATAAATACTAATAAAACAAACGGGGCGGGGCACTTTGAGAGGGGCGAGAGACGTCTTGGTAGGGAGTTTTGGTAAAAAATTACATTGCATAAGCTCAAAATCTTCTTGAAATATCGCCCGGAAATGATAGTATTACATACAGACAGAATGTATAAATTTACGACCTTGAACTTTGACCTTTTGACCTCAAAATCAATAGGAGTCTTCTGTAGTCCACAGGGAGTTGCTATGCTAAATTTCATTGCAAAAGCTCAAAGGGTTCTCGAGATATCGTGTGGAAACGAAAGCGTTACAGACAGACAGAAAGACGGACGGACGGACGGACGGACGGACAAACCCAAATTAATATCCCCCACTTTTCAAGCGGGGGACAAAAAACGTCAGTCAGCATATGACTCAATGATAAATTGTATTTGCTGACAAGCTAGGTCATTGTATGGACCATAGAACTTACGAAATGATGACTTTAAACACGACTGCTGATATTCTTGTTTCGTCAACTTGCTTGTCAATGATTTACCTCGTTTTAGAAATTGTTCATACGTAAAGCATGCTCTTGCGTATTGAATCAACTGAGATATATACACTCCGTATGCAGGTGATGAAGGTATATTGCTGCTTAAGTAAGGGAAGCTGACGATAGAAAAGTTAGTCATCACGTTTATCATATAGTTTGGTTGTTAGATTACCAACAACGATCACAAACCATTCTAGGAGAGTAGCGTATCAGAAACCATTGGCTAGCGAAGATGCCCGTATGGCAGCTTATGGTTTCTCAAATGCAAGTCAGCCAGCAAGGTCAAAATTGTTGTATCCAAAGAAAGGTTTTGTCACAAGTAATGAGCCTGTGAAATATGAAAGTCCAAGTATCAACTGTTCCAAAGTACTGGCCAAGGTTAAAGTTTTTTTTGTTAACAAAATTAGTCAAACTCTAAGGTCATGGTCAGGCTTGGGGTCAATTACTTTGAAATGTAATTAATTACTTTCAAATACATTGATAATTTTGTCAATTACTTGCAATTACAATTACATTGATTTTTTCAAATGTAATAAATTACTTTCAATTACTTTGACCAATGTAATTAAATACATTTCAATTACTTCGAGTTTTTTTTTTATAAAAAAAATTAATATTTTTTTTTCAAATAAGATTTTTTCTATAGCGATCAAATTCGAACTTTCATTCAGTGTTTTTGTTCTTGGGTATGATAGGGGTTCACACCTGGTCAAAATTAGACCTTTACCTTATAATGAGTGTGACACACTGTATAAACAAATTAAACATTATGAGACAATTAATTATTGTACAAACACAAGCCCATGCTACACCAGTATGGTGTATGGCAAGATCTTTTTTGTTACTTTCTCAAATCCATATTTTTGAAGCAAATGAATAATATCTATCACAATTCCATTCATTATTTTCTATCTTAAAATGAATAGAATACAGGTAAATCTAAAAGGGGATGTAGTTAGTCTAATTACTGTAAAACAAATTAACTATCTAAACAATCATTGTTATTTGCAAGTGGGAATAGGGTGAACTGAGATTTATAAAACATGGGAATAAGTAATATAAACCCACTAGTATAAAACTATGTATCAGTATAAGACACCTTTTTAAATATAAACTTTCATTTTGAAAAAAAGTAATTGAAATGTAATTGAAAAGTAATTGAAAATACATGACCTTTTTTGAAATGTATTTAAATACATTCAATTACTTGTAATTGAAGGCTTGCTCAAATACAAATTACTTCCAATTACTTTGAAAAATGTAATTAATTACACTCAATTACAATTACTTTATTCAATTACCCCATCCCTGGTCATGGTCAAATTTGATGGCACCCCAAAAAATGTATTGTCACGTGGAATATACATATGAATTAAGTGTAAAAGCCTTATCACTAACTATTCAAAAGTTAAGACTTAGTTTAAATAGGTCAAACTCGGAGGTAATTTTAAGCAAAGAGGTCAAATTTGGTGGTTCATTGTGTACTTGAAGAAAGGTCTCGTCACAAGGAATATGCATGTGAAATATGAAAGCTATGACCTCAACTAATCGAAAACTTTAACCTTGCTCATAACTTTTGATTGGTTGAAGCTATGGGCTTTCTTTTAATATTTCAGATGTGTATTCGGACTATTCCTTGTGACAAGACCTTTCTTTAGGTGACATCAAATTTGACCTGTTGACATTGACCTTGGAGTCTGGCCCAATTTTGCAAAATTTAAAGCAATTTTATTTAACTAAGCTTAAACGTTTGAAGAGTTGGTGCTAGGGTTTTCATATTTCAACATTGTGTGGATGGATTAATAAATTCCGCTTATCTCATTTATTAGTTTTTTCACGAAAAGCAGGTGAATGATGACACATAATAAAAGGATAGAGTTTTGATAACGACGCATATTGTGAGATGAACTCAAATATGCGGTAATATATGTAATTCTTGTGACAAGACCTTTCTTTAGATGCCAACAACTTTGACCTTTACATTGAAGTTTGACCTCCATTAAAAAACTCTGACCTTGGCCATAATTTTTGAACGGTTAGGGCTATGGCTTTCGCACTTCACATATGTACGCCTTTATAAACATGTATACAACATTGACCTTGGAGTTTCAGTTTAACCTACTTTTAAAATACTTTAGCCTTTGTCAAACCTTTTGAACAGGTGGTTCTAAGGCTTTCATATATATTTCACATGACTGATTGTGTCTTTCTTGTGAGATGACCTAATCACTTTGAGTACCAACATATTTGATTTTCATTTGAGAAAGTTTAACCTTCACTATAATTTGCCTTACGGGGGCATCCGTGTCCCCAAACACATCTTGTTTATTCTGGAATTAATCATTTTGACAAAAGACATTAAACACAATGACAACAGAGATTATCATTCGTTAAAACATCCATAATTTAAAAGAAAAACAAGATGTGTTTGTGAAACACTGATGTCCCTGTATGGCAGCTTATAGAGAGAGTTGAATTCTCTCAAATGCATGTCAAACTTCAAAGGTCAAAAGTCTTGTTACAAGGAATACACCTGTGAAATATGAAAGCCTTACCTCTAATTGTTCAAAAGTTATAACCAAGGTTCAAGTTTTTAAAAAGTAGGTCAAACTCTTAGGTCAAGGACAAAAATATTTTATACCAGCTGAAAGTTCTTGTCCCAATGAATACACATGTGAAGTTTGAAAGTCCTAACTCCAATTGTTCAAAGTTATGGTCAAGTTTAAAGTGTGGTATATATTTTGTGAAAGCATGGGTCTAACTCCAAGGTCAAGATCAAGAGGTCAAATTTGGTGGTACCCAAAGAAAGATCTTGTCACAAGGAATACACCTGTGAAATATAAAAGCCATAGCCTCATCCATTCAATAGTTATGGACTAGGTTAAAGTAGACAACAGACAAATCAACAGACAGAGAGACAAGACAAAAACAATATACCCCAGGGATTTTTCAAATCGGGGGCATTAAAAAACTTTTATGCCCCGTAATCAAAGATTCCGGGGGTTGATAATAATTTTGCCTGGCCTGTCCGTCTTTTTGTCTAAAACAAACTTTAACCTTGGTCATAACTGTTGAGTGGGTAGGGACTTTAGCTTTCCTATTTCATAGGTGTATTCCTTGCGACAAAACCTTTCTTCAGGTACCACCAAATTTGACCTCTAGTCCGTTGAGTTTGACCCACTTTAACCCAAAATTTCCAAACATCTTTCATATTTCACATGTGTATTCCTCACAATATATTGGATACCATCACCCTTGATTTGCACCATCTTCCCAAGTCAAGGGTTTCTGGTCCGCTTCACTCCATCTTCCCAAGTCAAGGGTTTCTGACCCACTCCGCTTCACATCTTCCCAAGTCAAGGGTTTCTGATCCACTCCGCTTCACATCTTCCCAAGTCAAGGGTTTCTGGTCCGCTCCACTCCATCTTCCCAAGTCAAGGGTTTCTGATCCACTCCGCTTCACATTTTCCCAAGTCAAGGATTTCTGGTCCGCTCCACTCCATCTTCCCAAGTCAAGGGTTTCTGACCCACTCCGCTTCACATCTTCCCAAGTATAGGTTTTCTGATCCACTCCGCTTCACATCTTCCCAAGTCAAGGGTTTCTGGTCCGCTCCACTCCATCTTCCCAAGTCAAGGGTTTCTGATCCACTCCGCTTCACATTTTCCCAAGTCAAGGATTTCTGGTCCGCTCCACTCCATCTTCCCAAGTCAAGGTTTCTAATCCGCTCCACATAAATCCTTGACCGAATAGACTAAGTTTGACGGGGTTTACTATTAACCATCTAGTGAGATGATACATTTTGAACTCTACTGACCTCTGCTATGGCCAATCAGAGTAAATGAATTCAACAGAGAATTCGAGATAATATTGGAAGTCGGTGATAAATTCAATATAACGCAACTAAAAAGCTGAGACAAACCTTTAACTGGGCTATTTAATGATAAAGCCGTTATCCTTATGACTATAACTGGCGTGTTTTTCTGTTTAAGGTCATAGGCAACGTAGTTTGAACTTTATTGGGTTCTTCCCTGGAGTTGAAGACTTCCACTAAATGAAAGACCTGCGTTCAATACTTTTAATGTCTACATAGTACATATGGATTTGTACACCTCTTCTAAAACAACTTTTGTTAAAAAAAAATCTGGGATTTATGTTTTGTAATTTTTGTACATTTTATCTTTGAATAATGCAAACATTTTCATAATCTGATATGTTTTTAAAACCCCTGGTAACGCATGCTGATTTTTTGTCTAAGAACATGTCATTGTATTATAAGTTTAAATTTAGAATATCTTGAAAAAATTTCAGTAGGTAAGGTACACTGCGTATGTATTTAAGATTTAGTTTCAGGTTAAATAAAACAATGATTATGATTGGGTCATGAAAATTTGCACGAGGTCAATCAGAGAGCGCATTTCTAACCCCGTCAAACCTAGTCTATTCGGTCAAGGGTTAGATCAGAAACCCTTGACTTGGGAAGATGGAGTGGAGCGGATCAGAAACCCTTGACTTGGGAAGATGTGAAGCGGAGTGGATCAGAAATCCTTGACTTGGGAAGATGTGAAGCGGAGTGGGTCAGAAACCCTTGACTTGGGAGGATGTGAAGCGGAGTGGGTCAGAAACCCTTGACTTAGGAAGACGGACCTGGACCTACTTAACAACCTAACAACCTAACCCAACTTTAACCTTGGCCATGATTTTGTACCAAATGGTTCATCTAGGCAGCCTTAGTTTGCAAACTATTTTTTAGCAAATCAAAACAGAATACCTGGGAGGTATTTACTTTTCCAATTTCACAGGAACCTGATAGTGATACAGCAAATGAAAGCTTTTTGACAAAACAATACTTTTTTTTACTTTTCAAGCGAGTCTAGATTTATGCTGAAGTGGTAAAAATTAAAGTACACTAAAAATTTTTCCATTCAATCTTTTATCTTTATTTTGCATCAGTAGAATTATACTGACTGCTTAAAATACAAAAATGTTGCTGATTATGAATATAGATTGTATGTATACACAGTAATTTCACTTCTGAGTTTAAAATTATTGTCCTGATGAATATAGCTGCATAAAGCTGGGCTACATAAACAACAATACATTTATGAATATGAAAAAAATGTTTGTCACATACAGCTACTCAGACCATATTTATACAGAAAAATAATCTCTGTAGCTGGTATCAACATGTCATAAGAAATTCCCAATGAAATATTATTTTCTCCTTGTTGATTTATAGCTATCTTGAGCTGTTTTACTTGAACTCCTATGCACAGACTTGGGATCTGAGCTGTTATAGAGCTTCCTGGGAAGTCTGTCTGGTTTTGTTTCTGAACTGCTATGACGAGACCTAGAATGCCTATCTTCTCTAGTCTCTGTAACATCATGTCGTGACTTTTCCTGTCTGTCTGAAATTGTTTTCAAACTCTTGTGCCGATCTGATTCCTCGATTCTTGTCCTACTATGTCGGTATGAAGTTGAGTGTTTTGAATCATTTTCTCTCCTTCCTTCATCAGTTTTTCTTTCTCTGCTGCTCCTAGAAGATGGAGACTTTTCCTTTGACCTATATTCTCTGTCCTTTCTATCCTGCTTTGGATCATATTTTCTTTCATAGTCTCTCCTAGGTGTCCTAGGTTTCAGAGTCCTTTCTACTTCAGAACTTCTTGACTTATCTTCCACTCTGTCCTTTCTCTGTTTCTCTTTTGATTCCGACTTCGGTCTGTGACTAGAAGAATGTCGCTTTCTGCTGCCTGGTTCTCTGTCACTTGCATTTGAAAGACTCCTGATTTTTGCCTCCCTATTTACTTTTTCCTTTCTCTTGTGAATCAGATCTTCACTTTCACCATCTGAGGAATGAACCTCTCCTTCCTCTGATTCACTGTCCCTCAAAGATGGCTGAATATTTTCTGTTTTGAATGCCTCTACAACATCAAAGTTCCTTTCCTCCACTGGTGCACAATTATTGTCAACAGCTTCTTTATCTTCGTTTTGTTTTTCAAACGACTGTCTCCTGACGTTGATTCCATCCCTAGCTCGTAAAGACACAGCTCCTTTTAAGTCTAGTTGACTTTCTTCATCGAAAAACTCGGTAATACTCTCGGTCTCTGTGAGTACATCTCTGCAAATGGAATCCATTTTCTGTCCATTTGGTGAAGAAGGCATCAAGAAGGATTGCACATCCTCTTCCTGGCATGGTTTGCCGGTGTTAAGTTCAACAGTATTTGTAATCACTGAATTTTTGACAGGCACAGTTTTTTCAGCGACTTCTTCTTGGGATTCATTATCTGTTACTTGTTCAGCCACAGATGATACACTCTTACTTACAGCACTAGTATCATCACATACATTGCTCTTTTCTTCTATTTTTTTCATGATACTGTTACGTATGAAATCAATGGACACTGCAGAACTCAAAACGGGGGGATTTTCTGGTGTAACAGCTTGTTCTTTTACTGTCCCTCTATGCTCATCAATGCTCATATCTGTTGTTGGACTTTCTTTTGCATCACAATTTTCCTCAGAAATATCACCCAAATCATTAACTTTCAAAGACCTAGATTTCTCACCCAAGAATGTTTCAGAAATATCCCATTTTTGCTCTTTTGCAACCTTTTCCTCTTCAACACTATTGTCAACTTCAATATCTGAAATCTTGTCTTCATCTTGAATGGCTTTGCCCTCTTCTTCACCCTTATTTAAATTCTGAGTAAGATCTTGACCTTGTAGTTCAAATGTACATGGGTTGTCTATTTTTCCAGCACTATTTCCAGGCTCCTTGGTATTTTTTAACACACACTCACTGGAGATTTCGAGAAACCCTGATTTCTCTTTCACTTCGCTGCCAGTATAAACTTCGTTGACTTTCAAGTCATCTTTCTGTTTCATGCATGTCTTTGACAGCTCCACGGAATCAGATTGGTTACTTACTAAGACATCTTTAGATTTTTGACTTATCTTTGATTGCTCTTTAGAATACTTTGTCTTCAACTGATTGAGGAATTCACGATCTGCATCATATTCTTTCTTGGACAGACTGTTCTTTGTAACAGGTTTCTTCTCTTCTGACTTCAAGGCTTCAGATTTCATGACTATTTTTGTGCCTTTACTTGACGTATATACTTTCTCACTCAAGGTCTTCGGTTTCTCAGTGTTTTCAAATATAATGCTCTCTGTAAATACCTGCTTTGGACCAAGTGGAAGCTTCAAGACTGCCTTTGGTCTCTCAGGCTCAATTCTTTTACTTAAAGATTGGCTGCCTTCTTTTGCAATAGTACTACTTTTCTCTTTCTTATTCCTGGAAGAGTCCATACAGCTTGAATATTTTGACTGACTCCTTGATGAAACCTTCTTCAAATCTTTCACTGTTTCTTTTTTCTGGTGACTGGGCTGTGTTGAGGCAATACCTCCACTTAAGCTGTCCTCATTTCCAAGCAAGTCATTCAATTCTGTTTCCGACACATGGATTTTAATATCAAAACAGCTTAAACTATTTTCATGTACATCTGGCGTTACTTTGTAACATTCCTCAGCTTTACTTTCATTTTCTGTTTGATGTCCTGCAGATACTGACTTACTTGGTGTGAACCCAAGTTCATGATCTTTTTCACCTGAGAAGAAATTCTCCTTTCTCTGGTCTATTGATATCAACTCTTCAATGAAAACATTGGCTGCATCTCTGCTATCTGCAACACAACATTCATTGTCTTGCCTTCTTGGTGGCGATTTAAAGTCACTCTTATCTGAACTTGCACAGATTTTTTTATCAGGATTATTTTCTCCCTGAGTTTTATTCAATGAAAGATGCTCTGCAGCATCTTCTTTGCCTGCTTGAAAAGTTTCTTTATCAAAAGCACCAAGAGTCTTGTTTGATAATGTCTCTACTTCTTTGTTTGATGCTTTACTATACATTGAAATTTTCTCTTCATTCACTCTGATCATGGCTTCCTCGACATTTGTTATCTCTGGAAAAGTCACTTTATCAACAGGCCTACTGCTTGGTTTAGGAGATAAAGTTTTCTTTTTATTCCATGATGTTTCAAGAAACCTCTCTTCTTTACACTCCGTTGACTCTGATTCCTTTGTATCTGAAACATTTTGAATGTTATTACTACTAGGACTTTTTTCTACGTATTTCGATGATTCTGAATTGACCAATGACCAAACTTTCTCGATATCTGATGAGTCCTGAGGTTTTTCTTGCACTTTAAACTTTTCAGCTTTTTGTGACCCTGACTTCCCTCTTTCAAGAAGCTTATCCTTTTGGTCATATTCAGTTCTGGGCAATTTATATCGCTTAGTGTTCTTTTCTTTTTGCTCTGCGGGAATCTTCTCTTTTTCACTGTCTGATATTTTTTCCTGCCCCCTCTCCTTGGATCTAAGTCTTTTCTTCTGTTGAAGTTTAAATCTCAAGTCATCACTACTTGCCCTCCTTTCTGTATCCCTTTTAGGTTCATCCTCTTTCACATTTTTGGAATTTCTCCTTGAACGCTCCGGCGTTCGTCTACGTTCAGGTGTTCGTCTTCTAGATGAATTAACACTTACACTTGACACTTTAGTTCGGTTTGTAGCAGCTTTTTCTTTCTCTTCCACTTTTCGCCTTGTATGACTTGATCTCTCAGAATTGCTAGATTTCTTTTTCTCAGAATATGTTCTGTATTTGTCTTTCTCACTTCTGTTTGTTTCTCTCCTTGATCGACAAGGAGAACGTTCTATAGGCTTGTCTCTGGATATTAACTGACTACCGCCATCACAAGATGAATTAGTTTCAGAGGTTAACCTCACTTGTTCACTTGATAATTTGTCATTCTGAGATTTTTCCACTTCTGTGTGACTGTCAATCAAACCTTTAAAAGAGAGTTCACTTTTAGTGGTTTCAGTGTTATTCACTTTTTCCAATCCACCTCTATTTTCGTTGCATTGTAAAGCTGTTGGTTCAGGCTTTGAGATCACTTTACAGGGACTTCCTACAGGAAGGTCTCCTTCAATCACAGATTCTGAATGTTCCTTTAAGGATTTCTTATATTCATTGGATCTTCTATTTCTCAAATCTTTTATGCTTTTCTCCACCAGTTTCCTAGCAGATATTAAGCCATCCCTGGATTTTTCAGAGTAGATATGTAATCCTTTTGAGGAACTTGCATCTTGTGCTACATGCCGAGGCTCGTCCCTCTTCTGTCTTTTAAAATTCTCTTTCAGATCGTCCCATGAGCTCACTATCTTTCTCTTCCGTGGAGACATGTACGATTCCTTCTCACTTTGATTGTCTCTCTCAGTGGTTCCGACACTTCTGCTATGTCCATTACTTCTGGCATGTCCTTCCCCTGAGAAAAAATCCTTTCTGGGAAACTTACGACATCTTGGTTTGTATGAAAGATTTCTGAAGTTCAAATCCTCTCTATAAGTTAAAAAAAATCAGACATAAATTTTCACTGAAACAAAAATTTCTAGTCAAGTAAAATTTAATTATCTTTATTTTTAAAATTATAAGCTCTTTGATAAAAATATACAAGAGGCCCATGGGCCACATCGCTCACCTGAGAAGCTTTGAACATTCCGTTCTTTACCAGATTTCTCCCTTGTTATACATGTTGTGACCCCATCCTACCCACCTAATCATAATTTAAACAATTTGAAATCTACACTACCATAGGATGCTTTGATTCAACATAGTAAAACTTTGATTCCCCATTGTGGCCCCACCCTACCCCCGGGGGTGACATGATTAGAACAATTTAGAATCTACACTATCCCAGGATGCTTTCACATAAGTTTCTGCTTTTCTGGCCCAGTGGTTCTTGCGAAGATTTTTCCTATATATTTCTATGTAAAAGTTTGATTCCTCATTGTGGCCCTGCCCTATCCCCGGGGGGGGGGGGGGGGGGGGGGGGTCATGATTTTTACAATTTAGAATCTACACTTCCCCAGGATGCTTCTAAATAAGTTTCAGCTTTTCTGGCCCAGTGGTTCTTGAGAAGAAGATTTTTAAAGATTTTTCCTATATATTTCTATGTAAAAGTTTGATTCCCCATAATGGCCCCGCCCTATCCCCGGGGGTCATGATTTTTACAATTTAGAATCATTTCCCCAGGATGCTTTAACATAAGTTTCAGCTTTTCTGGCCCAGTGGTTCTTGAGAAGAAGATTTTTTAATGACCCCACCCTATTTTTGTCTTTTCTTGATTATCTCCCCTTGTGAGGAGACTTGGCCCTTCATTTTCACAATTTAAATTTCCCTTCATATAAGAATGCTTTGTACCAAGTTTGGTCAAAATTGGCCCAGTGGTTCTTGAGAAGAAGTCGAAAATGTGAAAAGTTTACAGACGGACGGACGACGGACAAAATGTGATCAGAAAAGCTCACTTGAGCCTTCGGCTCAGGTGAGCTAATAATGTTGCTTAATCTCCATGTAAAAATGATTAACCAATTCACCCTGAATTTAACTTAACCTCAAGTGTATATACGAGGGCTGTTCAATAAATAATGTCCTCGGTGCTCAGAAAGAAGCAAAAGACGCTTTTCAATGATTTAGTCTTTATAATTTTACTTATTAATCTCTATTAAACCAAACACATGTCCTTAACATTTTTTATCCAATTTCTGATTGCTTTTAGAACTCATTTTTGGGTATGACCCTTAGTATACTGGAAAATGGCAGATCCAATGATTTCATAGACGTGTTTTTTCCTTCTGAAAGGTTTTTTTTCAAGTTTGGAAATTGAAACAAGTCAAAAGGTCAAAGATCTGGCCAATATTGTTAATGTGAAAAAACACTAACTTTCTGTTTATCCCGAAACCCCCTTTACTCCTCAGGGCATGCGGGTTTGGACGCTGTCATGAAGGAATTCAGTGTAGTGGATTCCTGATTCTGGGTCCTTCCTCTAATAAACCGTTTGATCATTATGCAAAAAAATTGCTTTGTAGACTCCTCCAGATATTAAAATGTCTCCCCGACTACGAATTGGAACAACAAAACCACTAATATTTCAGAAAATTGCATATAAACCAGTCTTTGTGCTCTTGCATACTTTTGCTCTTGTCAGACCTTTGCCGTTTTTATCTAGTACTTCTTATGGTAAATTTTGTTTTGATGGTTTTAAGCAATATATTCATGTTCCAATATCTGTTTGAATATAAAACAAACGTGGATGACTACAATTACTGATATTTTAAAATAATTGTTAAGACTTTCGTATATGCTGTCGTTTTCACTCATTTTTTAAAATATAGGGTGACCTTTGAGTACCAAGCTTTTCTACTGTCAAACGTTTCTTAAAGACAGTGTAAACTACTCCCGATATGATGTCTATTGAATTTGCTATGTGTCTTAAAGTCAATCATACATCATCAAATAGTATTTAGTGAAATTTGGCAAACAGTGCATTAGTTGTTATAATTTTTGTTGGCAAGGAGGGTACCCATTTTTGATGCCCATTATATAATTTTTTTATCATTGAAATTCACTTGCTAATTTGTCTATAAAACAGACATTGGTTGCTGTAAATGTCACGTTTCAGTGAATATTTCTTTGGGATTTTTAGCAAGTTTTACAGAAGCTTCAATGAAGCTTTTATTTTCACTCTAGTTTACTGGTTCTTTACCATTCATTTATAATGCAGTGTCTCGAAAAGCCCTTGTTTCCCAGCTTCTCACGATGAAACTTTGTGATGAAAAGTGGTCACATAAACTGTTATGAATTCAGTAAAGATTCAATAATGAGAGAAAGTCAGGTTTAATGTCATATGATATCTGTACTGTATGTCATACAGTTCAGGACATTATTTATTGAACAACCCTCGTATATAAAAATAAGACTACCTTAGTTGACCAATCTGTGTGTCTTTCCTCTGTAACTCTGCTTTAGCTGTGACGTACAACAGGGAGATATTCTTCTCCAGGGTCTGGCTCTTCTCCATGTAAAAGCTCTCATGGTTCCTAGCTGTCTGGAGCTGTCTCTCCAAATCACTGATGGTGTTCAGGGCTCTCTGATACTTCTCACTCAGCTAGAGAATCAAATTATACAACTAGTGGTACTGATTTAAAAATAAACTAACAATAAAAATCCTAAAATATTTCAATAGGACATGATGTCCCATGAATGTCCTACCCAGGGTTCGACACTAACTTTTTTACCTTGGTGGACCGCAGGTCCACTTGTCAAAAATTATTGGTGGACCTTCTCAATATCTGGTGGACCTTTAAAAATGTTTGAATTAATGAATAAATCAATATTATACACAAGGCATTAATTAAAAATATCTTCAATATATACCGATTCCAGTCAGACTAATAAGGCATAAATCTAACCAGTTAACAGAATCAAATCAATTAGGGACTAGTCAGATTTTTTTCTCAGAAATATTGTAAATAATTTGTTTAAATATTAAACTGACATAGGTACATGTATGAATATTAATTATTTTCTAAATTTATTGTTTATTCAAATAAGTAGTGATATAATGTATATCAAGAAAAGAGATGAAACTGCAGATTACAGTTCAGAAAAAACAATGCATAAACGCAGCTGTCAATCAATTCTAATCATCTCAAACAGTGTGCACTCAAGCGTGAAGCGATTTCCTGTTACCCTGGTCCCAGTGTAATTTTCACACCTTTCTGTGCATTACGTAAACAGAGGAGAGACTGGCTAATTTTGCGCAGATTTTTCATGCTTCTTATTTAAGGTCCTTTTTGAATGTTCTGTTGTTAATATTGGAGTTATCAATTTTACATGTAAAATATATCGAGTTGCTAGGGTCACCCTGATTACCTAAAACAATATTTACCCGTATATTTATTTCTTGTAAAATACAGCTATGGACATGATGGAGGAATTCATAATTTGAGTTACGGATTTCGATTTAAAGAAAAAAACCCTGAAATTTTCACTGTTTTTTTTTAAATACAGTGTTTAAATTTTAAGTGGACCGACGGTCCACCTATTACAGAAAGTTTGGTGGACCTTCCTATTTTTTGGTGGACTCGGGCCGCCGGTCCACCGTTAGTGTCGAACCCTGCTTCCCAACAGGGTGTTTGTTCTATTTCATACAAAGATATACCTGTGTTGTTCTCTGAACTTATAGGAGAATAGGATAAAAGGGGAACTAATTTTTCACACTTTTTCATTCATGTATTTATGCAAAACTGATATCTTTCTAAAGCACAGTCTTGCCTAATAAAGCATGGTATGAAGTCTTTATTTATTCCATTTATCTAACAATTAATATAACATTTCATTTTTTTTCAAAGTTCTTTCTTTCTAATATGTTAGCAAATTTATTAATAAGATGCCCTTGAAAGATATGTCTGATAAACACTCAGAAAGATTTTACTGTAAAAATAAAAGCAAGAAGTTGACAAGATTTTCACAGGGACTGTGAAAGAAACTACAACACATTTGATCTTTATATCTTTGCATGAAATTTGATAAAATATAAAGTGGTTTAA